GTCCCTGGGTTTCGTGAGCGGGTCGCTCCTGGCGAACATCCCAGATCCGCAGCTTCTTGTCTCGCGAGGTGGTGACCAGCAGGGAACCATTAGCGCTCCACGCTTGAGATTGAACAATATCTCCCAAGTTCAACGTCAATTTAGAGGCACCGGCTTCGATATCCCAAATCTTAACAGTGAAGTCGCCAGAGGCAGTCGCGAGGATGTTTTCTGCGGCGGGGTTGAAGAGCACGTGCCCAATCTTCCTGCGACAGAAATTAGGACCAACATGACCAGTGACGGATCAGAGTTCGAGAGGATTGGAGAGGACAAACTTCGGGTGACCGCTCAGCTTTCCAACGGGCGCAATGTCTTGTACTTCGTCAGGTTCGACGTCCGGCCGGAGAGTGAAGCCTTCGGGAACTCGCCAAAGCAAGACCTAGAACAGAGCCAATATGAGTTAGTGCACTGGAAGCATAGAATTATGAACAACTCACCTTGCCGTCGTCAGAACCAGAGGCAATCAAATCATCATTGAACGGGTTCCTGGGATGTGTTGGTTCTCCGCGCGAAATTAACAGTAGGTGACGATGCTCACCAGTCGGTGTCCAGAACGACTGCGGTATGACCCCTGAACAAAGGTATTCTCTCGGGTAGCTTGCCTCGCTCTTCAAGAGGAATGACAGCAAATGCACCACCACCACCAGCTTCCCAATTCACGGAGAGGTAACGAGGGTTGACCTAGATTGGGGGTTAGACTGTCTTCAGGGGTGGTAATCGGGATGCCGGCGGAGGCGGACCTTGACAAGGTTGGTATCCCAAGCATTTTTCGACACGCGAAGGTTATCATAGCATTGATCCTGCGCATTGAGTGAGTCGTTGCCAGAACGTGCGATTAATCAGAAGTTTCTCATTGTAAATACCTTTCTCGTCGGTCGTCCGAAGACGTGTCCTGACACCTGTCAGATTGCGGGCAGCCTGAGGGGAAGGGATCGGTCAAGCTCACGGTATTTGGATGAACGAACAAAGCGACCAGACATGGCACCGGCTTATAGAAGGACAATACAATGAAAGTAAATATAATGCAATCAATGGCACAAGGTGCAGTGGAGGGAGAAAAAGGGAGACCGAGTATGTAACTGTATCACGGGGGGGATGGGGAAAGCTGTCGGGTCTGCGCACAAGAGTCCAGCCGCCGTTAGTTAGTCCAGACAAGGGAGAGAAGTGGGTGCCCACTGCGTAGTGGGCAGGTGGTAAAGAAAGGAGCACCAACGAAGTATTGCCGTAAACTCGTAAAAGGATTCGTACTCGTAGAGACAACTGCAAAGGAGGCAGAGATCAAAGTACGAAGTCAAATGGACAAGTCAAGGGCTCATTTACAACGATTTGGCCTTTCTATTATTATCGTGAAGGAGGCATACCGAATGAAAGAACAAGAGGGCCTGACACGCCGTGTCCCAAAGAGGACTAGTGCATCCCCGCCGAAAGATAGCTGAGTCAGCCGAGTTTGTTTACCGCTTTCCGTCACTCCAGAAACCAAAACACATTCGATCATCGCAAACTGTTCAGCTCACCTAAACAGAAGACTACCTACTTTAGTCCCGACTGGCAGTCCATTTATCTTCCTCCCTTCGCAGCTCCACCTCCTGACATGTCGCAGAGCCAGTTGATACACTGTTGACTCTTTGTCTTCTCTGCAGCTCTGAGACACACTCATTTTTTGTGCACACTCTTTCCATCCGGATGTCATAGACCGGCATTTCCAACAGTCTACGGTGAAAATTCCATACGCAATTGACCATCATGGAGAACGAGCATATGGTAATTCGACCTTTCGGTTTTATTTTATCAAAAAGGCTTACCTCTTTTGACGAGCAGGCACAACCAAAGCCGACCACTAAATCGCGCATCCCCATGGCCGGCATGACATCGGGGATGACCAATTCTCGCTCTGGTTTGCCCCAACCTGGCACAATTGCGAGCAAAACGTCGAGTCTATCGCGTATGTGAACCACAAGAGCAATCTGACAGAGCGACTTCACATTCTGACGGTGACAGACACCACCCGCGCTAGAAGCGCTACACAGGCCCCAGAGCCCAGCAGATCTGGAACAGGGAGTCTTCCTCCGTCACGCCCAGGCACGAGTATGGGACGAGTTCATACTAGAACTAATTTCTATGCATCATCAACTCTGACCCGATCGGCCTCGACTGCTTCACGGACTACCAGAACCAATTTTTCCTCCACTGTTGGACCCGGATCACGACCTCCTTCCCATGCGCCACGACCGCACACCTCGCTTGCTGGTCCCCGAAAGCCGAACGGTCACTCCATCACTCGGCCCGCAACGTCATTGGATACCCATGAAGAAGAGGATTTTGCTGCAAGCATTTTGGGAAAGAGAAAGGGTAGGCGGCAGTCCCTATTTTCCCTATTTGATATTTGTTCCCACCCTGCATCTATTACGCCGCATAGTAAAGACAGGGAGATGTCGTGCGACTGGTCTGGCTCGCAGCGGAAGCTCCTTGGTATCCAAGAAGCCCCTTTGCGAATTGACCAACTCGAGGCATCTCCATGTCCTGCTTTGGATCCGTCGGAAAAGGACCCCGTCTCCCATGACATACTGGACCCAAAATCTCTGCACCCCGCGCAGGATGGACCCATTAAAACCCCCACTTCAAAGATCCCCGTATCTTCCCCCGTGAGACAGCTGTTAGAGAAGCCTGCATCTCCCTCCAAATATCCCCCTAGGAAAAAGAAACCACCTATCATACCATTTCTGCACAAAGATTCTTCGATCAAGACATTTAACTATTCTACAGGTGCCGAGTGGGATCATGCTACGCGCGAAAAGACAATGGAGGAATTTTTCAATGCCTTTGTCTCACGAGTCAGCCAGGCCGGACAAGAGAGTTTCGGTCTGAAGGAGACCGTTGAATTGTACAAAAACAGAGGTAAGCGCGGATACCCACTCGAGCTGCAAGCGTGCTCACAGTTGTTACAGTGAGCGAGTTGGAGGCAACACGAAAGGAACTGACCAACACAAACCTCTCATTACGTGTGGAACTCGAGACCACAAAGGGCCGACTAGACGCTGCCGAGGGAGCCCTGAAGGACGCTCGAAGAGACCATGAGATCGCCATGGACGATGCAGAACGCCAGCAACGCGCCGAAATCGAGACAGTCAGACAAGAGAGCAGGAAGCAGCTGCAGGCTCTAGACAACCAGCACCAAGACGAAGTCCGCGAATTGAGGCGCCAATTCGAGCAGCAAATAAACGACGAAAAAGCTGTTCGACTTCAAGAGATCAATCAAATCACCTCGCAGACTGCGCTCGACACGCAACGTTCTCTCCTTGACCTAGAGCGAAAGGATAGGGAAATTGCCAAGCTCCAGCACGACTTACAGGCTGTTCGAGAAGACCTGGAGCGTGAGCGAAAAACAAATCACGATTTGCGGCAAAACCTGGACACGGCAAGCTGCAACAGTGTTACACTCGAGTCCTCGGTTCGCGCATTGAAGGCAAGAATAGAATTCCTGGAATCTGGACGGGAAGAGCAGTCTCAGTCCTTCGAGCGTCTCAACCAGCAGATGATGGATGCTCTGGCTGAGACTGAGGCGACAAAGGAGAAGTTGAGGAAGGAGGAAACGTTGAGAAGAAAGCTGCACAATCAGGTGCAAGAGCTCAAAGGCAACATTCGGGTGTTCTGTCGAGTGCGCCCATCTCTCGAGTCCGAAGTTGCGGAAAACGCTCAAATCGAGTACCCGGACCAGTCAGAAGAGTGCAAAGAGATTTGTCTCCTGGGTCCAGAAGAAAGAAGCGCTCTCGGCACCGTTACCCGGAAGAACAACAATTTCTCCTTTGATCGCGTCTTCGGACCCTCGACTCAGAATGCTGAAGTGTTCGAGGAAATCAGCCAACTCGTACAGAGTGCCCTCGATGGGTACAACGTCTGCATCTTCTGCTATGGGCAAACGGGCAGTGGCAAGACATATACTATGTCTTCCCTTGATGGCATGATCCCCAGGGCAGTACATCAGATCTACCAGACCGCTCAGAGCCTGGAAGAAAAGGGCTGGAGGTACACCATGGAAGGCAACTTCGTGGAAGTGTACAACGAAAACTTGAACGACCTTCTGGGCAAGGCGGAAGAGTTAGACAAGAAGAAACACGAGATCCGCCACGATATGCAGAGATGTAAGACGATGATCACCGACATCACCACTGTTCGGCTGGAGTCGCCGGAGATGGTAGAATCTATTCTGAAACGAGCTGCGGCGAATCGGTCTGTGGCGGCCACCAAGGCCAACGAAAGATCTTCTCGGTCACACTCTGTCTTCATTCTCAAGCTCCTCGGTGAAAACCGCATTACCGGCGAACGCAGCGAGGGAACCTTGAACCTAGTTGATCTGGCTGGTAGCGAACGGCTCAGTCACAGCCAGGCAACTGGGGAGAGATTGAAGGAGACACAGAGCATCAATCGCAGCCTGAGCTGCCTCGGAGATGTCATTGCAGCTCTTGGACAAGGCAAGGAAGGTGGACACATTCCCTACCGGAACAGCAAGGTTTGTCTTTTTTTCCCTCGTGTCAATGTTTAAGCTTACTGACTCGGTTTGATAGCTCACTTACTTGCTTCAATTTTCACTGGGTGGAAACTCCAAGACTCTCATGTTCGTGATGTGCAGCCCATTGCAGGCTCACCTCGCAGAGACATTGACTAGTCTCAAATTCGCTACGAAGGTGCACAACACACATATTGGCACGGCAAAGCGACAGACCCGCGTTCGTGATATTTAATGATACCTTTCCGTTTTTGCTTTACGTCCAGGCAGCCTTTATGATCCAGGCAGGCCTTTGATCAGCCGGTGTTTGGTGTTGCTTTGCCATGAGCTGTTTGAAGATATTACCATTCTGTGACGTTTTCCTTTGTGGCTTTGGTGCTGGATTTGATGTACATAGTGAAGAATCTATTGGATTGATGGACAATAGGCGACGTCGATTTGGTAAAATATGGTCAAATCATAAGTCATCAAAGTATTTACTTGCCAGCTTTCCTAGCTGCTGTGACTTGATTCCGATGCTTGTCTCATCGAGAACCCCTTCGTCACTCACAAAGGCGTCCACCAACGTCAACGGAACCCATTCGAAATAGATATTCTTGACTAGGACGGTTGCCGAATTGTCCCTGTCTGCCTTGGAAGTGGTCGAGCCATCTTCGAGCACCTGTGTGCCTTCAACACTCTCATTGCGCCACGCACTATATACCTCGTCGGGGTCGTTATCCTCCACTTTATCTTCCAGTATCCCGTCGTCTCCAACCACCTTTTCCAGCTCACTGAGAACAAGGATCTTCGCGCTTGGCGTGACATGTTTCGCACTGAGCACGACGGGCAATGACCCTGTTTTGTTGCTTACGCCCTTGGACGAACAGATGCGGTCAGCGCCGAGGACGACAACGTCGATGTTCTGAGCGGCCAACGCAGCTGCTGCATCCGTGTAGATTTTGATATCAAGTCTCTTTTCCGGCCTCGAGCGGAACTCAGACTGGAAGCGGGAGTAGATGGAGGAGGCGAGGGTAGCGCCTTCGAAGAGCGGTCTAGATTCGAGGATTCGCAGTTCGAGCGTGGAGATGTCTAGCGCGGCGAAGGCGTCGAGGATGCTGTTCCTAGTCGTCGAGCTGGCGGATAAGGTGAGCACAGTGATTCTGTCTCGCTTTGGCTCCGTCGTCAGAAAGGTCGATTGGATGTACGAGGTGAATACGTCCTTGAGGCGGGTGGTGTTGGTTTTCCGATTTGCGATATGGGAGTCGATGGCGGACAATATCCGGTCCCGTTTCTGATTCTGCTCGGGGCCTGTCGTTGTGTCGTTCAGGATCCCGTCTAGCGCTACCAGCACCGAGAGGAGCGCATTGAGCGTCGCGGCGCCCATGCTCTCCCGGCCGTTCTTGATCAGATGCCACGCGGCCATGCGCACCGTCCTCCACCACCTCTCGTCTATCTCATGCGTCTGCGATACGACCTCCCGGAATACTGTCAGCGCGATACTCGTCAGCTCGTGCGCCCCGCTCTTATGGTCCTCGCGCAGCGTCTTCAGTCCCGACGCTAGGGCTTCCCCCGCCCGCTCGCTCATCTCGCATTCGGGGAAGACTCGGCGCAGGGTTTCATGGAGGCGCGGCACGCCGCCGAAGGCCTCATCGTCGACGATGGAGGCCGGATCGTGCCATTCCCAGCTTTCGTGCTCCCAGTCGGTCTGGATTGCTGCCTCGCCTTGGCCGCCTTGGCTTGGGGGTTTGAGTTTGAAGCCGAAGGGGTGGACGGTCCATTCGCGGTTGACGGTGGAGTCGCTGAAGGTGAATGGTTTCCCGACGCGCCAGAGGGTGAGGTTTGCCGGGGTGAGGGTCGTCTCTTCGTGGAGCTCGCGCCATGCGGCTGTGAGGGGGTCTTTGTCGGTCGGATCGATGCTACCGGAGATTGGGGCGAGGTGATGCCTGTCTGGGTCAGTGAATGTTATATTCATCTAGGGGAGGTAGGGCTTACGGATACGTCCTTACTTTGTCGCTGCGGCGAAACAGAGCTACCTTGGGCTTGGAGGACTCGTCATCTGGGAAAGAGAAGATGAGCGACGAGACGACAGCTCTTTTCTGCTTTTGGTCTGTCATTTTGATCGCGTGCGGGGTCGTTGATCCCGCTAATCTCCGGGGAGATCTCGACAGGTAGATTTGTCTACTTTCTGGAAGAAGTGTAGAAAGCTTGGAAGAGTGCCAGTACTTTTCTAGAAGCACCATGTGGAAAGCCACACGCTGATGTCAAAAGAGGAGCTTGGAGGTGGAGTCGAAGTTGGCAGCCATTGAGATGCAGCCCGTTTTGTCATGATCACATCACTGTCCACAAATGGCCAATTGGCCAGTAGCTAGCAAAGAAGAAAGATGGGTTGATGGATAGCTCTATTTACATATATCAGGTCTGTCGCTAGTCGTTCAGAGTGAAACTGTCTATATTTCCAATATTTTGAGTTATCCTGCCCGCGCAACTGCAGTGACGTCAGTATCCCCAAGTATAACTATATCAATCTTCCAAAGCCACTTGTATAGCATCATCTTTGATTAACACGCAATTGACTTAAAAACAACCATATGAACCGCCTCTCCCTTGTAACTCGCCATCTCTCAGCCCAGATTCCCAAATTCAAATACACTCCTCGCACAACCCACCAAGCCATCTCAACTACAACAGCACGAACCATGCCTCAGTACACCGGATCCTGCTACTGCCGCAACATCAAATACGAGATATCGCTTGACTCCCCAGACGATGCACGAACCTCCCTCTGCCACTGTTCGAACTGTAAAGTCAGTTCAGTTGCACCTTTACGGAGATGATGCGCAAGCTAATCAATTCCACAGAAAGCATTCGGAACAAACTACGGCCTAACGGCCAAGATACCCAAGGATGCCTTCAAACTGACCGCCGGGAAACCCAAGGAGCATGTCGGCGATAACGGGTCCGGGTCATTGCTGCACCGGGAATTCTGCGATAATTGTGGAAGTTTCATTCTTGAATATGGAGTGAGTCGACAGCATTTATGCGTGTGTATAGAAGCTAAGAAGGATAGGATGCGGTTAAGGACCAAGCCCGGTATATCTGCGTTGGGACTCTAGATGATCCGGAGGCGTTGCCGCCCAAGGGGGAGTTTTTCTGTAGTTCCAGGGCGAGCTGGATGCCTGAGATTCCGAGTAAGTTTTTCCTTGCGGATATATGGACAATAGCTGATGGCTGTAGATGTGTTTCACAAGCAGAAGATCAAGGAGTAGACCATGATGTAAGGTATAATGAGGTTTCAGATGTACTATATCCAAATATGCGTTGTATGAGTATCAACAACTTTGCTCGGTCACACTGTGAACAACCATATCAGGAGCGATCAGCTTCTCCCGAACGGTGACCGCATTCAAATAATCGTTGCTGTCCACTCTCCGAAACCCATCCTCCAGCGTTTTCTCAATCCCCGCCAGCACATGCCGTCGCGCGACTCGTTCTCGCGCTTCCTGCAGATCACTCTCGACGAACACCCGGTAGTCGACCAGCGCAGCTACCTCCCGCCATTCAGGCTCGTCAAGCAGTAAATAATTCCCCTCGATGATCACGATCTCTGCGTCATCGGTGATAGCAATGCCATTTTCGACCGGGTCTTTAGCCTCGTGGTCGAACGACGGTGCGTAGATAGTCTCTGCTGCAGAGGTGCAGGGCGTCGAATCAGCCCAATTCCGTAGCCGACGCATGAACTGGACGAAGCGGGCCGCGTCAAAGGTCCAAGGAGCCCCGCGGCGGATATACGCTTCTTCTCGATTGGGTAAGAGGTCCAGGGTCGCCCGCGACAGATGGAACCCGTCCATGGAGAGCTGAGTAGTGTGTTTTGGGGACGGTTGTGCGTTTAGAAGCCTGGCAACGGCGGCCGCGGTGGTTGTTTTGCCGGATCCCGGGATGCCGGCGACGGCGACTAGGAAGCGCTTCTTGCTGTGGGCATTGGGTTTCTGGCGTATTGTCTCTGCGAGACGAGTATACTCGGCTTCCATCTATGCCCGGTTAGTTTCCTGCAGAGGTAGAGGAAATGGCAGGGCTTACCTTGTATTTGCGGTAGGGTCCGAGAGCGATGCTGGTGTGTATGGGGAGGCATCCACAGAATGAAATCACAGCATGCTACAGGAATCGATTGTAGAGTTTGAGAGTGAAGTTTCATATAATTTTCACTGTATGTACATATTTCAACGCCCCGCGTCCGAGCCTGTAGAGCGGAGACGGCTCACAGTGCTCCGACAGCAACGTGTAGTGACCTTTCCCTTTCGGTAGTAATCCGAGTTGATGCAAAAGATGCGAGGCAGACTGCGACAAAAGACTTCATGTACTTGATGGTCTGAGGGGTGTTGTGGGCTGGTAGTCGTGGCAAATCGTATCGGGCCATGCTGCTCCGTGAAAGTGGAGATGAGACGGACCTCGCATACAAACAAAAACTGTCATTTGCCGATCATCATTTTGCTCAGGAATAACGAGTGCGCCATTTTCTGAAAAGAATCCTGGATATCTGGAGATAAGTCCAATCGCCGTTGCATGCATGTACCAGGATCCAGGTGTATTTCCCCGCTTCGTGCGGAGGAGACACTCCCTTGCGATAACTTTATCTAAACTGGAGACTTCAAAATGATCGCTGCGGCACGCTACGCATTGCCAGTGACAAAACGAGAGTAATTCTCTATCTAAATCGTCAATCCACTTGTTGAACTGGCTGTATCATCCATTCAGCAGCAACTTTGCTGCTGCAACCGCATTGGCGTTCCTGTTCCTTGTTGCGATGCTCGAGACCGGCTCGATTTCTTCATCGTCTTTCGTAACGGTGCCACGTAGAAACATAAAATTTGTTGATCAAGACAGTGCGAGCATCGCGKTTGCTGCCTGTCACAAGCTACCCCCCATGTTCGACAGGCTTTACATGCGGGATTCTCCTCGTCCGTATTGTCATGAGACTGCTGCTGCAGTCCACTCCCGGCAGCCGTAGAGGGTTCTTGTGTAGTGAATGTGGCACTCTTTCCAGCTTTGGCATGATGCACGCCATGTTGAAGATTCGAGGGCTTAGCCTGGCTCTCTTGTGTGCTTGAGCCGTCGATCATCAGTGTCGACCAGAACCATTGTAAGAGGCATTTCCCCATGCTGGACCCTCGTAGACGGCTATGGTGGTGTGGCTCGTATACTGGAGGGTTTCCGACCACTGAGCTCTCAGGAGTGGTTATCAGATGGGAGTCCGGTCCTGATCCAGGTTCGTGAAAAGGGAATCTGGGAGACAGAATATAACAGTTAGTTGAGACCCGGGGGAATACGAGGATGGGGTTTTGAGGATTCTCGACTCACCTCTCATATGCATATGTAGTCGCCATGTCGAATGATCAGCGGCGCACAGATATTTATATCGGCTCTTTTTGTAATCAATCCACAGGCAGCAACTGCAAATGCGCCAAATGTGACAAATGGGAGAAGTGAATGTGGTCCGTCACGCGAGGGCTCAGCTCAAGGCACAAGACCACAACTCGGATGACTTTGAAACTCAGGTGAGATCAAAACAACACTGTCAAGAATAGGGACTATCATCTGGATATAATTTTCAGCCCCAGAGAGCGCGGGGAAATAGAGCCGAATATAGTAGGTATCTAGGCGTCCATACCAATGAGGATGGACGGGACAATCTGGACACCCCCACTGTGCTCGGAATGCCAACGCACAAACAATAGGAAAGCAACACGAATATCGCATGCATTACTACCCACAGGAATAGCCAAATCGAGTGTGTGTTCTGTCAGGCACCGATTTTACCGCCAACACATCGCACTCACGGAACGTCGAATGACAGGCGGGTCATACATCCGCATTACGTCAGGCACACATCGTCATTGCTCCGTTCCAAGGACGCAACAAAGGCCAAGATGTAACTTTGGCTGACTCTTTAAATGATTATTAGCCTCATGTAGTCTAGACTGAAAGAAGTGAGCGGAGAACAATGTCCATCAATCAGTGATCGAACCCTTCTAGACTCTCGGAGTGTGTCGGCTGAAGCCCCAGTTGGCCAAGATTGTTCCCATAAGCGGTCCGGATCAGGATTGTCGCGAATCCTTCCATGGATGGGATGGCGGGGTGTCCGTGTACCTGTTGCCCCAGGCTGTCAGCCCTTCGCTGTAAGCCAATGTGCACACCAAAGCTCTTCATAACTCTGGCAGTCGCGAGGATTGTCTCACATTGTGGTCGTTCTGGGGATTACGACCAAGCATCAAGCCTCAGGGTTCAATTCGCTGGATTTTCCCTGTCTGTGTAACCATGACAGCGCCCAAAAGCGCCACACTTCCGTCGATCTGAGGATATCCCTTGCCTCAATGCCTCCAATCGCATGCGAAGCCCCTGACTCACTGTCATAGGTACCTTAGTACCGTCACAGCTTACTGCCCAATGACTTGCATTCCATGCTCGTGATTTGGACCAGGGGCCAGGCAGACACTGTCTGCGATGGGAACCGGGATCAAGACTAACAACTACTCTATGACTACCAGACAATGGATTTCCTACGCATTGATGCTCACTTGGTGTTGTCGTGATGTTTACATTGTGCCATAATCCCATGGTCGCGACAGAGGGCATTTTCATCGAGGGTCTTTTAATGGAGTTCTATTCCCGACCACGAATGGTCAATATGCATGCCACTGTACCTGAGCAATCGTTAATTCTAAACAATCAGCATGGCCCGCCTTATGGATGCGATCAAAAAGGACCACCGAGAGCTTGAAGAATACTACAACATTATCGTGAGCTCCGGAGATACCGATGAGCAAATCCGCTTCCAGAACAAGTTCACCTGGGAACTCGCCCGCCATGCGATAGGCGAAGAGCTGGTCGTGTATCCTGCCCTGGAGAAACATCTCCGAGATGGCACTGAGACGCCCGATAAGGACCGTGATGAGCATCAGACGGTACTAGCATAATCTGCTAGTCTTTCTTCTATGATGACACTGATTGCTGTACAGATCAAAGAAAAGCTTCAAAAGTTCCAGGACATGCATCCCTCCGATCCAGCCTTCATGCCGACGCTCAAGTCGATGATGGCGGACCTGGCCAAGCACATCGAAGAAGAGGAAACCACTGACTTTGTCAAGTTGGAGAGCGCAATCACCCCCAAGGAAAGTGAGAGCCTGTCCAAGTCGTTCGGCCGAACGAAGATGTTCGTTCCCACCCGGTCGCATCCCAACACCCCGAACAAACCTCCCTTCGAGACGGTGGTAGGGCTGCTGGCTGCACCAATTGACCATCTAGCGGATATGTTTCGTAAATGGCCTGATGATGTGATCAATCCCAATCCATCATCTGAATAGATAGATAGGTAGACATAGAACTAGAATCGCTGCTCGCTACAGCATTTCTCAAGACTTCAAGACGAAACTCTATTAACCCACGCAAGTCTATTAAAGTCTATACATCACAATTTAGTAAAAATACAACTTCTACTCCTCCGGCTGCGCCTGCGACTGATCCTGCTGATCCTGCTGTGCCTGCTCATCCCTTGCTCGTCCCAACGCATCCAATTTCTCCCCAGCGCTCTCTTTTCCTCTCGGCTTCACCCGCGGATTGCTCTGCGCACTAAACACCACATCAGCTAACCTCTCCATTTCGCGTCTTGTATACTCACGCCTTCAGCCCACCCGCCACTCGATTCGGCTCTTTATTCTGCTGCCGGATAGCATACAGGTCATGCCGCGGCTGGTCCCCATGGAGCTCATTATCTAGCACATCCTTGGCGTGCTGCTTTGCTTCGTCCGAGGTGCGGGGATTCTTGAGCGTACTTCACCAGCATCAGATTATCCGTACCCATGGGTGACTGCGGACAGAACTCTAACTCACGCCTTGTAGCCGCGCATAGCATTCACCCTATCCTCCCCAGAAGCGGAGACTTCGTTGTTTTCCCTTGAATATGACATTGGTGAAGTTGTCTCTGATTGGTTGGTTTGGTGGAGATGGAGATGATGATCCGATGAGTTTAGTGTTGATATATCAACTGCGGCATCGAAACACTACAACTGGCAGCTTTAGGCACTAAACAGGTTTCTGGTGTGGATACCCTTCCTCCCGGAGAAGTGGTTATTGAAGATTATTATGTGTTGATTAGGTCTGGCCGGGAAGTGAGTCCGGGTTGATGTTAAAGATGCGTCATATCGCCACCTTGAACTTCTGGTTGTGTCCGTTATAAGCAGGGTACGGAATGTGGGATTGATCGATCATTGATCGATCAGATTGATGATGATCTCAGACGCTACGCATCGTATGATATGGTATCGCATTGCCGTTGCTCGATTCTGCGTACGATCAATGCCGAGTGTTGATATTGACCCGATCTGGTAGCCAATCGGTCCAGGTGATCGATGTACCCGCAGTTTGTCTGTAGATCCCCACTAGATGGAACTTTGAATATGAAAGCTTGAGGTAGTTAGCCGTAGGCCTCGGTGGACGTGCCATCTGATGCCTCAGAACTCAATCGGAAACTCAACGTCCGCCATGACAACACCTTGATGTCAGGATGGCGATGCTGAGACTCGCGGAACTCTGGAAACACATATATACCCACGGTATCCCAAGCATTGTCATCGGTACATCACAAGCAACCCATCCACTCTGCCACCACACCTGCAAATTTGCTCTACTACAACCTCTCTACCACCACCACTCTACGATAAACTATAGTCAAGATGTCCAACCGTGCTGAAAGAGAAGCTGAGGACAACTACGAGGCCGAGAACGACACCTCGCCCGTCTCAGCCGAAGTTATCGACAACTCCTACACCCGCGAGACAAACCCTGAGCTCCGCAACCAGGTCCCCGTTCAGTCCGACCAGGCCGAGTACGAGGATCCTATGCAGCCTCCCTACTCGAACACGGACCAGCAGCTTGGTACGTACACTCCTACGGGAAACATGTTGGTTCTGAGTGACTGACCAAGTGTTCCCCGCCAGCCGACGACGAGAGGGAGGCCATTGATAAGAGCAACATTTTGCGCGGTGATCGGCTGCGTCACGCAAAGCCCCGGACTGCCAACAAGTACAATGAGGGCCCTGGCGAAGACGATCTGCCTGATCCTGTGAGATATGGAGACTCTGGTGTCTCCAGTACAAGGCGCGTGTCTTAATGCTGTGCGGCCGTGCCAGAGTTGAGCGCTGTCACGAAATGATGCGATGTATGCAACCGATGACACTTGTATATTAATTCAAATGTTTTGCGTATTCTATTTGGTTCCTTTGTAGTTTCTCCATGCATCTTGTAGGAATTGCCTCATCTTTACTGGTTGTATGTCAGGGAATCTGTCGTTCAGTCGATTTTGATCTGGTAGCTTGAAAACACCGGCTACCGTCAGTCGGCTCACCAACGCGGTCATTTCTTGCAAATCCTCTGGGGAGTAGGGATTTCCTTCGGGCATTGGAGGAATAGTAACCCGACCGTCCTTGATACTCTCTTTACTGTCATAAGTGACCTGGAATTTCTGACCTGTAATGGTTCAGTTTAAGCAACGCGGGATAATGGATCGAATCACTGACCTCGAATCTCCTCGGCCATCTCCAGAAGCTGATTGTACGTGACCTCGTCGCCAACAACAATGCTGAACTCAGGCCAGTCCTCAACATCCAGCAATCTGACCAGAAACGCTGCCATATCGTATGTATAGGTCATGCAGATCACGTCATTTCCGTCGCCCGGGATGGCAGCCTGACAGTGCTGGATGTTGATGCCAAAGGTGCAGGGTGTGAGATGGGTGCGCACCACAGGCATGCCCCAGTAGTCCATGAAGAAGCCGGGTATGACCCGGGTATACTGAAGATGACTTTTCTGGAGGAGCTCAGCGGCATCGAGCCAATGTTGGATGCTGGGGTCAACGGGGAGGAGACTGGTGACGTCAATTAGAAAAGATAACAGCAATACGTCAGCACGAGGGAAAATACTCCTTGGTTTGAATAAAAGAGTATTCGCTCGGAACGAATCTTTTTGTCACGCTGGATTTCTCCGCAGCCTGGATGAGGTTTAACTGGGATTGACTGGTCGTGGCATCGAAGATCCCAATTGCGGATATGATGGTATGGATAGCATGCTGCTCCAGGACCTGGACAAGAGAGGGAATATCATCGTAGTCTACCTGCACTTGTCGAGTCCTATTCAAAACATGATCTGATCTGGGTCCCTGCGTCAAACGATGAGACTGTGATCAACCCATCCGAGATAAGCTGCCGTGGGACTTACGTTGCGAGTCAACACTACGACTTGGTGCTGGGAATGCCCCACCAAGGTTTCGACAATTGTTTTACCAACTCCCCCAGTTCCACCGGCGACAGCTACAATAACCATATTGATAGCGGCCAGAGTAGCGCGTGTTTAAACTTGAGATGCGAAGTGTCGATAGACATATACGCACTTGTGATGATGATTGCTTTGCTTGTCTTAGCGTTGTGGTGCCCCACCTTACTCATGCCCTTCGTCTCTCGCAGAGACTGGATGCTTGAACCACCTCAGGGAACAACCTCCGAGAGGAATCATATCACCGCAGGATTTGCTGGAGTTCCTGACATATGACCTGATGACAGAAAAAGCTCCATGAGACTTGGTCTCGGTACATGAATCTATATCGATGCCACATTCGACTATTCATCTGAGGAGATCCCAGACAACACTGTGGAAAGCTGTGATTGGCCCTTCCATCAATCAGAGACGTCAAGTCAATTGGTTTGAATCAAAGCCCATTGATGAATGGCTTGTTTGCAGGAGATCATCACTCGTAAAGGGAAAAGCCTGCCGTTGCACTTTGGTAAAGGCTCATTTTGTGATTAGTGATCGAGCCGAGGCTCCATACGATGATAGACCAATCAAGCCACTTCCTAACGGGGGATCATCCAGCTGATGAGATTGTCAGACTTTATCATGGCGACTTAGAGAAAGAATCATAATGATCACTTTTCATCAGTTATCTTCGTTGCATGGCTGACTTTTACCGCAGTTCTATTGAGCTTGTGTCATCGTTCCGTAGCTCATATCTTAAGCTGAAAGATATATGTTGAAGGCGATCCCAACAGATCTAGGATGTCTGAGCAAGAGTTTCCCTTACTGACCTGGGAGGAGGTCCATCAAAATCTAGTACTATCCAGCCGCAGTCGACCAGCTGTACCGGATCACCTGGGTGCTCACCAAATCACTTCGCTTCTGTCTGCATCCTCATACTTAATCCCAGAACGCTCTATTAGTCCGCAAACAACGACACCTCAACCTCGAACGCAACTTTACGGCGGCTTTTATCTGGAAGATCCGCCTGGTGAGGATCAGCAGCCCGAAGCGTCGAAACATAAGTCCTCGAAACGAGCCAGAACAGATATCGATCCCACAGATGGCTCTCTCTCAAGAAAAAGAGGGCGACCTCGCAAGTCAGCTGGCGAAGGAGAAGATCCCCATGAGGTGCGTCAACACTCACTTAGCTGGCGCTAATTAGCATTTTGCTTATCAAGCTGACCGGGCAGCGACGTCGAATGCAAATTCGACTAGCACAACGGGCCTATCGTTCCCGCAAGGAAGCAAGCGTTTCTTCCCTCCAAAGCCGCGTACTTAAGCTTGAGACTACAGTGGAGCAGATCAGCGCAGCATTGTTGTCATTTAGCGATGAGCTAATCCAATCCGAGGTGTTGGCATCCGATCCTCGGTTGACCGGCCGTTTACGGGACACAGTGCAGCTTTGTCTATCTTTAGCAAAAGCAGCCGACATGACAGGCGATCAAAGCATTGCTACAAACTTATCATCACCCAGCGAAGGAAGCCACTCATCTTTAGAGGACAAGGAGCCCCAGAGCAGGCAACCTTCTCTCGCAACATCGCCTCCTTATAAAGAATCTACTGAAAGCGAAAATTCGGGGACACTATACGCTGCCGGCTTCAGAGGAACGGCAGAAGATCAGTATTCCCCCGAAGCGCCTTCCCTGGAGCTGAGCGCGTTTATCGAACGGCTTCATTTTGCATGTCTCTATGAAGGGTACTCAGTCCTCAGCGATGCCTCTGTTAGCATGGACATCTTGCAAAGACCTTTTCGATTCCTCCTTCGCTTGATGGATAGGAAACGCTTAACCTCTTACTTTGAAGCCTGCTTGCATGCAAAAGCCAGCCGGAAGCGCCTGGATGAGTGGAAAGAGATACCCTACTTCAAAATCGGTGGCGCTGGTACCCATTATCCTCGCAAGACGAAGGGAAGCTCAACTGAAACTCTACCACGATGGGAGAACATCCAAGATCCCACATCAGAGCTACCGCAGGAGGTGCAGCATGAGCTTGACGGTGAGTGGTTTGATATACAGGATCTGGAGGGATTTCTCCTGGAAAATGAAGTGGCACTTGTTGTGGGCGACACAAACAATTCCAGTTATGATCGAAAGGTTGTGAACGCGGCACGTTTAATTCAAGGTCAGCATCTGTTCCTGTTTTCGGCGTTGTCATACTACTGACGAACGATAGAACTGTTGAAGACGGGGGTCTGCCTTGGTCGGACGCCGGGTTTCCGTCGTAAGGATGTGGAAGCAGCCCTTCATTTAGCTATGTGTTCATAAGGAATGGATGATGGAACTACCTTTCCAGCCCATGATCTAGTCAGGACGCTGCAAAAGGATCTGGGTGGCTGCCATGATCTGGCATAAGAATCCACGAAGGTACAAACACATTGCGGTATATCACAGAATATGTGGCAAATTTTACTGCTGTAACAGAGAGCTGGATTCTACATAGTACAATGATTCTACAAAATTTAAGACGAATGTTATCCACAAGGCTGCTTTGCCAATAAGATTAATTTTCAAGATGAGTGGAGAGGTATCGGGATGGATATATATGTGGTGGGAAGGCATCCACATTTGACTAGAGAGATCCACTGTAGTGTAAAATCATTTCAAAACTACCTAGTCATTGAACGCGATACTCAAATTATTGGTATAACGTCAGAATACTTGCTTTCCTCTCAGGACCGCACTTCCTATCTGGATAGTCATTCGAGTCAACTGTTGTCAGTTGTGGCTGTATAGGTCCTGTGGCTGATTGGCGCTTCGAGTAGAATCACGTGATGTTTATCATCCTCGTCAAATTCCTCAGTTTAATGAAATCGTTGCTCGTCCTGCCGCTGCGCGAATCAGTAACACCTCATTGGATAGTCGTTCTTCGATCATCCATAGGAATTTGACTTCGAGATCCGTCACATTTCACTGCCGCCATCTCATTGAATAAAAATGCCAATTGCCGGCCTCTTTCACATGTCGGCCGTCTCCCAGGTGAGATGGACGGCTTCGTATATATCCACCGTAGACCGACGGCGTCACGGTCGGTCGCTCCACTAAAGAGTCTAGACTCAGCGTGTCGACCAAGTCATTGATTGGTTGTAATGCCCGTTCCTGACTGGCGAGAAGTATTCTCAATTGCCACTCGCCAGGTGTATCAATTGTGGATTCATGGCAATGTCGGCAAAGTTGTCTGTCCGACAGTGAGCATGTCATCCTCCAAGGACCCACGAGCCATGCTGAGATGTCCAGAATGTGGATTGTGGTTTTACTGCCTGTGTCTGTTACCACCATGGATGAGAAAAGTCGAAAGCAATTCACTCTTATGGACAAAGGCAATCAGTGCACACTTGAATCATGAAAGGGGAAAAAGGACAATGGTGATTGACAATTGCGAGCCGCTGCTATTATTTCCCTTTGATGTTTCACCACAACACTGCGAAACAGCCGTCCTTTTTTGCGGACAAAAAAAGCACTCCCCTGTTTCAACTATCTACTTCTCCATGCTTATTGGAGGCTGCACCTGTTTCAGATTTGCTGACCACATATCCACCACACCAATGCCGTGGCCTATCGCTGCCCACTTCTGCATACCCTAGAACATGGGAAAAATGAAAGACCTCGTGTCTCGACGAATGCCATACTGAGCAGCCAGCATTCGTCACTTTTTACGAGGGACCTTATGCCCGTTTCCTCAAGTGAGCGATTTCATGACGGTTCGTCTCGGCCTTCTGGGTCTGCTCTGGACAACAAACTAGCAGAGGGACCTCCACTCCCAAGCCTGCATTGACATGTCGATGGCGCTTTGGGATTAGACCATGGCAATAACGGGGCGCCAGCTCATTGACCATGGTGACAATAATAATATTGTCATTATTGTTTGCAGGCAATGGCAAGCACAGACCAGGCGCGGCTAAATGGGTCGAGCATTCCTGCCTTCGTTGCTATATTATTGGCATCTCCCGTTTGCCTTTGTTGCCATGGTCTCACATACTTGATCTTTTCTTCATCTTGAAACATTCCCTTTCGTTATTTTCTTCTTTTAAGCTGGCCCATCTCAGGCCTTTACATTCTCTCATTCTTGAATTCATCATCGCAGATCGATTCTGCCCACGTTCCTTTCTTACCATCTATTGCTAGACTACACCCTGGACGGTGTCATATCCATTCTTTGCAATCAATTTGTCTTCTATTCTTCGCCTGAGTAGCGATCAGCTGGAATCTTCTTCGGCTGTGTTCTTAGATCTTCTCTATCGCTCCTCTCAACATCTCGAACTTAAGGCTCCATCGTTCCTTACAAGCCTTTGTTGACTATTCAAGAGCGCATCATGGCTCCCTCGTCGCTCTTATTGAGTGTAGGATCGCTCGTGGCTTCGTCCTTGGTCTCAGCCACAGCCCAGACGTATCAGCTTGCAGAGTCCTGGCAGGGCGAAAGCTTCATCAACGACTGGAATTTCTTCCACGGAGCTGACCCTACCAACGGGTATGTCACATATGTCAATCAGAGCGCCGCTGAACAATCTGGTCTGGTCAAAGTCACTTCGAGTGGTAGCTTTTATATGGGTGTCGACTACGAGAATACCCTGAACCCCAACGGCCCCGGCCGAGAGTCGGTACGGATCGAAACGAAAAAGTACTACACGCAGGGACTGTATGTCATCGATCTCGAGCACATGCCTGGCAGCATTTGCGGCACATGGCCCGCCTTCTGGTCCGTCGGTAAGGACTGGCCCAACGACGGCGAGATTGATATCATCGAGGGTGTCAACCTGCAAAAGGCAAACGAAATCGTCCTTCACACCAGTGGCACTTGCGATGTCTCGGGTAGCAACGAAATGACTGGCACCCTCTCTTCCTCGGAGTGTGGCGAGTCTTCCGGCACGATTGGATGTGTTGTCAAGGGGACCAATGGCAGCTCTGGCGATCCTTTCAATGAAGCGGGCGGTGGTGTGTATGCTATGGAGTGGACTGACGCCTTTATCAAGATCTGGTTCTTCGCTCGCAGCCAAATTCCCGCCTCTCTTTCCAGTGGAAACCCCGATACCTCCTCGTTTGGAACCCCTATGGCGCACCTGCAGGGCTCCTGCGACTTTTCGGAGCGTTTCAAGGCACAAAAATTCATCTTTGACACGACTTTTTGCGGTGACTGGGCCGGTGGTGTTTTTGGCGAATCTAGCTGTCCCATGAGCGATTCCAGCAGCCCCCTGAAGAGCTGTGTCAACTACGTCGCTGAAAATCCCGCTGCATTCAAGGAGGCTTACTGGGAGATCAACTCCATCAAGGTCTACCAGTACGGCGTCAGCGCTGCTTCGTCCGCCGCTGTCTCTCAAGCCACAACCTCCAAGGTCGAAGGCACTATGGTCTCGGTCCAGGCTGCAAATACCGCGACGTCTACCGTTGCCGTTCCCGCTGAGACAACTGCCATTCCCCAGCCAGCTCAGACCAACACTGCGGAAGGAACCGCTGCCGATCACGCCACACAGTCGTCTGCCAAGACCACTACTGCTCCTGCTGTTCCAGCTGCCACCACTGCTCCCACTGCGTCTGGCGCTGAGGGCGATGATTCGGAGTTTGAGTCAACTAGCATCGTCTACGTCACATCGACTACCACTATCTGTCCTGTCGCGGAAAGTTCGTCTGCCGCTGTCCTGGATGGCAAGAAGAACAGCGCCTCTAACGCGAATTCTGGCGCCGAAGTCGTTGCGACTTCTATTGTTGCTACTCCTGCTGCCGCCGCAAGTGAGCACCCCGCCGCTGACGCCGTCGCAAATTCTGCCGCTGCTACATCTACTGTTACCAAGTCCGAGGGTGTCGCATCCCGGCTGACCGCAGGCGCTCTTTCTGAAATCCCTACAACACCTCCAAACCCGGTCTCCCAAGCTGTCAGCACAGGATCCTTCCATGACTCTGACACTGCCCAAAGCGACTCTGGAGAGCAGAGCCCTATTGCCTCGGCATCTGCTGCACCTTCCACAATTCCTGTGCCAGTCTCATCCGGCGCTGCTGCTTTAGGTGGCTCTTCGAGCGCCAGTTCATTCACTTCGTCGCGTCGCGTTCCCAGCCCCACGGGAAGCTCTACAGCTGCATCCGTCACTGCCATTGCTACCTGGTCGCCGGCAGCTGGTGGAAGGGCTTCCGGCACGGCGACAGGATCGGCGACACTGACCGCGCCGTCTGAGGTCGTCTTCACTCCTGGCCTCAGCAACGGCGCGAACAGAATGTCGGTTGGTATTTCCGGTCTGATCGTTGTCATGTTCATTGCTGTTCTGGCATAGACGGTGGCAGATGATGGTTGGTGGTGTTTTCCTTTCTTGAAATATACATTCCCATGGGTGTCGAAACCTTCCCACAATACCCCTGTTGTACATTAGAAAGAGCTGTGGTTTAGTTGCGCTTGCGTTCTCCTTCGTTCAGATCCTACCTCTGATTACCTTGTGGCTCTCTGCAGGCACTAAGGCCTTAATTGTTGACTTACCCTACCATGCTCATAGTAAACTAAGAATAACTAAGAATTAGATACAAATTCAAAAACAGATTTATCTGCTGATTTGTCTAACATTAACCAATTATTCTGCCAGTCATGTTCTTTCATTCACGGGCTCGTTCAAGGTCCGTTGCCAACTGTAGACTTTAATGATACCTCTGTATTCGCGGCTAATGAACTGCTCCGGTACTCCGTGGAACTAGGTGCTGCTGACATGGACAATCCAGAAGTACAGGATCCAAATCCAAATCCGAATTCGGAAAAAGAAAAGAAAACATGCCTACAGACCTTGCAGCCCCGGTGGATACCGGATACTAGTAGGGTTGAATGTGAAACATTGATTCCTAGGTTCATGCATAAACAAGATGGATTAGATCGTTCAGTGGGTTGATATATACAAACAAGACAGCAAATCACCGCAAAACATTCCGAATCGCCGTCTCCATCCACAACTTAGTATACTGCTGGTGCAACCAAACCATATGCGGCGGCATCGGCTGCGCCTCGGCCTTCCCCAGCCCCTGGAAGAAACAGCTCTTGAGCCCAAACTCCGCCACGCCCTGGTCGGGCTTCACATCCACCGACATCTCAAACAGACCGTCGGAGGGCCGGACCTCCTTCACACGCGGGGACGCCCCGCACCGCACGACGATCCGGTTGGGTGTCTTCTCGACAACCTCGAAGTGGTCCGTGATCAGGGTGCCTGGTTCATACGTGGAGCGGCGCAGCTCGGAGCGGGACCAGAGTTGGTTGGCGGTTTCGGGGCCTTGATATTTGCGGGCGAGGTAGGCGCGTTGAAATGCGTAGCCTAGACGTTGTTAGCTTTGCTGCTTTGCATGGGTGAATGCTAATGTGCAGGTGTCTGTGGACATACCCCAGCCGCTCCAGACTCCGGCGCAGAAGGCCTCGACTAGCTTTCCCTTCTTTTCGAGCAGGGTGGGATCAATGTCTGATAAGGGGACTCTGCGGATGCAGAGATCGTGGGTGGTGGGATTGCGCAGGGGATTGAGGGCGTTGAAGCGGGCGGAGTGGAAGATGCGATCGGATAGAGGGAGCGGCACAAAGACGTCGTCGCGCGTGTACCAGAAGAACCCGCCGACCGTGGCGGCGCCTCCGATGGTGGTTAGCTTGAGGAAGCGGCCGAAGATACCCATTTTGCTATCGATTCAATTGATGGAAAGTGAACCAAGCAGAGGACGGACGAGGATGGATGGAAGAAGCGGGATGAGGGGACAGAGTTGAAGGGGAAGTGATCGCTTGGAGCACGAGACTCCACCGGACCAACTCCGATGACAGCTACACTACACATCGCTTGTCCATTTCACCGTAGAAACAAAAGGATGGCGAGGCTGAGCTCGTTCAATTTCTTATAGATATCCAGTATCAATAATACAATGCTGTCCGTCAGTTCATATCTCTCTACTCATAGGTGTGGTAGAGGTATGCTGCAGTCATCTCCAATTCAATGATGTCATTGTTTGTGCCATCTACGGATAGCTTCAGCTCCACCGATATCTACGGTCACAACTGATGGAATCATGTCAACGGCAGGATTATCCATATCCCGAATTGATATTCTATCTACCAAATACCCGGAATGAACCTCGCCGTCCTGGCATGCCACCCCTCCCACTCCCTCCCAAATTTCTCCCGCAGCATCCTCTCCTCATCCCTTACCCTCACCCCTACTACCATTACAGCTACCGTCCCCAACGCCCCTACCACCGTCATGCCCCATCCACCAAGCCTCTCAATCACATCCTTGCTCAATAAGCACGCTCCTACCGCCCCATCCCACCGACAAAACAGACCCGCACACCCCAGCCCCACCAGAGCAAGCCCCGTATAACTCGGATGCTGGACATATGTATATACACCGTTCGTAACCAATCGGTCCGGCACCGACAGATAAAACGTGAAATTTCGACCTAGCCCTCCAAACGCTGAGAGTCGGATGGCGGAGCCGGATGCGATGGCTAGGAGGGAGAGAAGTACCGTCGGACTCCAGGTAAGGGTCTCTAGGTTGAGATTCTCGGGATGAGGGCAGATGGCGGACAGAATGCCGGTAGTGGAATTTGGTGGGTAGAAGAGGGCGATGAGCGCATGGTAAGCGCTGATGAGAACGACAGCGCGGCTTGCGTTGATGGCAACGTTGCCTGTGATAATACGGATGCGGTCGGTCTCGTAGGGGGATCGTTGGGTTGTGGTTGGAGGTGTTGCGCAGATGGAGGTGAGGTAGCCTGATAGTAGGATGGAGAGTGATAGGGTAAAAGAGGGGAATGAGGGCATCTTTTCTGCGAGTACGAGTGATTGCTGAGGGTGGAATGATAAGATGAAATGACTGAAAGAGATAGTTAAATAGCAGCCGTGGATCAACACAGCAAGCAATGGACTCTATAGCTCTGTCTGCTTGCGGAAACCTTCTTGGTTGCCACTTGGGAAGTAAATCATTTTCATGGATAGAACGTGAAGTCATCTCCTGCAGTCATTGTCGGTGAGTATTGGTTATACCGAGGTCGGACAAGTCCACTTATTGTCTCGAATCTCATGTTGCGGATACCATAGTCTATCCATGTGAAAGACCAGGAATAGTAATGGATCTGGGATACACTATAATTAAATAAAGCACAGAATTATGGTTCCTAGATGATCATGAACCAGAGGGGAAGACTCTAGATCCACTGCCTGACCCCGCATTGGGGTACCTCCTACGGTACTACCCGGATGAGACTCCAGCTCAACCAGACCCAAACAAAACACCATCATCAAGTCTCTAACGCAACTCCATCTCTGAAGAACGACAATGTCCCACGCACCAGAAGGAAACGTCCGCTTCAACGCCGAAGCCTCCAGCTGGGACCTTAACCCCTCCGTACAGGAAGCCACCCGCCTGGCCTACGAAACCCTCCACCCCCTCATCACGACTCTATCAAATGGCGAGCAAACCCTCGACGTCCTCGAAGTCGGCTGCGGCACAGGTCTGCTCACCCTCCGCATCGCGCCGCACGTCAAGCACATCGTCGCCATAGACCCCTCAGAGGGCATGATCGAAATGCTGAACGCGAAGCTCTCCGACCCAAACGCCCCAAAGAACATCACGCCAATCTGCCACTTACTCACAAACCCAGAGGATCCAGTCCTGCCCCCGGCTTCCGCAACCGAGTCTACAGGCCCCGGCACAGGCGCGAGGCGGAAATTCGACCTCATCCTCTCCCATCTCGTCATGCATCATGTCCCCGACCTCCGGCAGTTCCTGAGCACGCTGCGCGGCTGTCTCAAGTCCGGCGGTCGGGTTTGCCTAACTGATTTCGAGGACTTTGGGCCGCAGGCGCGGTTGTTCCATCCCAAGGATAAGCTTGCGGGGGTGGAGAGGCATGGGATTCCGCGCGGGTGGATGGAGGATCTCATGCGGGAGGTGGGCTTCGCCGAGGTCAAGGTGTCGGTTGGGTGGACGATGGATAAGGAAGTGGAGGATTGGGAGGATGGCAGGCGGGAGATGATGAATTTTCCATTTCTGGTGTGTGAGGGTGTATGTCCATGACTTTGTCCATTTCTTTAGCCTTGCCTCGTTGCAGTCTTACAGATATTTTAAGTGGCATTGACTGAGCCACGATCACTTGTTGGTACTCCGTAAGCAGCTGAGGTGTAAGGCTGGGTGCGAGGCATCCCACTCTGTACATATGACGGATCTACTAAGCACTACCAATTGGTAATCTCATCTTGTTCAGCTCGAGTTTCCGGCCCTCCTTTGCAAGCGGAAGGCTTCATGTGCTGCGCTCATCCGGCGGTGTGATTTGTTGCGCCGGGAGCACGATCTGCGCCACGCATCAGCAGTTCGCAGCGCGTCGAACTTTAAGGGGCGTGCTGAATCCTGTGAAGGACAGCTGTTCAGCTACGCTTTGCCTTTATCTGAGTAACATGTAACTAATAGATCAGATTTTCTGCCATTGCCCATATTGTACCACTACTTGAGTATTGGAGGGATGCAAAGAGTTTCCACTGTTCGCGAACCGCATCACCGACGCTACTGAGATCAACACGAAAGATCGACAAACACCTTCCATAAATCCCTATCATAAAGTAAAGATTGACATTTGGCCTCCACTCGACCGCCAAATCAAATCTGACGTACGCCAACCCCGGTGCAAACCTACAAAATGGTTCGCCGTGGCCGCCTGATGGCCATGCACAAGGCTGATCCTGCGCAATGAGGCCCTTCCCCTATAAGCTGAGCGTGGTCGTTCACGGGGCCATTGCTTCAGATGAGCCGATTCCTATATATTCGTAGATCCTGCCTTCAGACAGAAATTCCCAACTACAGTCGATACCCTTGTAGTGTTTTATGTGCAATAAAGTCCGACCGACATGACGGACAAGGACTCCGAATTCGGGCCTGACGCGCCCACGCGAGAGCTCGTCCTGTGTTTCGATGGCACGGGAAACACTTTTCGTGCAGACGGCGGCGAGAGTAACATCCTCAAGATGTTTCGGATGTTAGATCGTACCAAGGAGAATCGATGTATGTACTGCCCTTCACCCAAATAATTGAAGTTGTGCTAACGGGCATAGACTGCTACTACCAACGTACGTATATTGCCAAGGATCAGTGACAGCAACTAATCTGGCGCAGCTGGCATTGGATCAGACATAACGCCAGGCTCGGTCGCTCATGCCGTCCTGCGCCGCAGCGGCAAGTCATGGACTCCAAAGGCCTTTGACCTTGCGCTTGCGACCTCGTTCGATCAGCATGTTATTCGAGGCTACCGCTTCCTTGCGCGCCGATGGGTCCCAGGCGCCAAGATCTACCTCTTTGGTTTCTCTCGAGGCGCGTACACGGCTCGATTCCTGAACGAGATGCTCGATTATATCGGCCTCCTCTCGGCGGACAACGAGGAACTGATCCCCTTCGTCTGGGAGGCCTTCACGCAGTGGAAATTCTCCGACGGCGAGGATATACAGGAGCGGTTGGGTGCAATGCGATGCCTGAGCGTGAGCCGGGACACCATGTGTCGACCCGTGGGGCAAGTCCACTTCTTGGGCTTGTTTGATACGGTCAACAGTGTGGCCGAGTTTAACAGGGAGAGCAGCACGCGACCGAGCCCGAGGATTATGAGACACGCCCTCAGTATTGATGAGCGGAGGATCAAATTCCAGCCCGTACTCTTCGAGAGCAAGCTCGGCACGGGATCACCGGACATGAAGCAAAGCGTTAGGGACTGGAAGAAGGGACCCGACAACATTTACAACTCGGACAACAGCAGTGAATCCTCAGAGCTCGAGGCCGACTTTGAGGAGGTGTGGTTCGCCGGAAACCATGGCGACGTTGGGGGAGGCTGGCCGAGCAAGACCTGGCCCGCAAGTCAGATCCCTCTGACCTGGATGGTCCAGGAAGCCATCAAGGCGGGGCTTACGTTCGAAAGCGACAAACTTGAGAAGCTCGGCTGTCAATATCCAGCAACAATTGAAAACGGTCAGGACATCGTACGCCAGGCTGAACGTGCTCAGATCCACGATTCCCTCGACTATGATAGTGGGAGACCAGCCGAGGCTTTCTTCTGGAGACTTCTGGAGTGGATCCCCTTCAAACGACCAAATATCACGCCGGATGGTTCAGTCCGCATGACTCGATGGCCGGCAAGAGGTTCGCGAAGGCCGCTCCCCAAAGATGCCAAAATTCACGGCAGCGTCATTCAACGGTTGCGAACCGACCCAAGCTACCGACCGTACAATCTGGGCCTTGGAAACAAGCCAAATGAGATGGACAAGGCGGAAGAAGACCGGAATATTGGCGAATGGAGGCAGATTGAGAACGACGGCTTGCGTGACTATTGGATCAAGGTTTAGTTTGCATGCTCCTTTCATTTAACCTCGTTTTCCTGTGTACTGCAGATACGCCCCGAATTCAGACCGCAGGTATTTGAGTATCTTCGCTGTTAAACCACCTGTGCCATCAACTAACACTCTGGTCTATTCTCTTTTGATTCATCGGTCTCTGTCCTTAAAGTAGGACCCTTGCGTGTATCACTGAACATTGCTCTTCCAGACTTCGAGTTCCCGCGCTCATCGACCCTCGCTAACAACGCGAGGCTACTAACAGACAACAGCTCCGAGATATTCGTGCTTCCATCACGGGCGAGTGCGCCAGTGGCACCATAGTCACGCAAAATCCTGTCAATCTTCTCGCCTCTTCCCGTGGCGTTAAGTATATGAGCCACGGAACAGTGAAGCTGAAGTAATTCAGGGGACGGTAAAGGATAGCGTCCGTCATGGCATACAAGGTTGACAATGCCACTTTTTGGAAGATGATGCCTTAAATTTCTGGTACAACCACGGAATGTCTTCAACCGATACTGATTCAGGGTGTCCGTTGGTTCCAGCGTCAGACTGAACCGTCCGAACGGTTTGTGGATCAAGTTTGACAACATCATGGCATTTGTCAATGAGTTAATCTCACCGTAGTAGAAGTTGAGCCTCGACCGAATGCTTGGAAAATAACGGAACATATTCGCCCAAACTGCTATCATCCGCTGGCGCTCAGCATCGTTCTGGAATTTCGCAATGGCGAAAGGTATAATATGGGCTGTCTCGAGATCTGCCGTGTCCTCGTCGGGATACTTGTCTTCTTGATTGATGTCGTACTCGCCAGAGATTACGCATTTGTTGCCATCTCTCCGTAGTGCATCATCTCGGAGCTGTTGCTGTTGCGCACGTGTCATGGACTTGTCTGTTATAGCAGCAAGACTCTCTAGCGAGTCTTCCAAGCCAATTCGCGGCGAAGGCGTAACCTCCGCTGTCTTATCCCCAGCAACCTTCAGGGGGGTCAGGAGGCCAGTGATTATGCTCTGTGCAAGTTGCTTTAACTTGCCCTGCGCTCCAGCCTGAACTATGTCTTGCGCAAGGTTGTGTCTCCCGTCAGCAGGTAGGTACCTAAAAGTCTCGCGGAGGACGTGCACCGCGTCATCGGTAGTATCTGAGGGCTCATAGCCGCGGAGTATCGCTTGGGCATCATATGGCATTTCTGTAAATATCACAGTATCTGTTTCTGAGATGGCTGTCGACAAATCAGATTCGTCAATGTCCTGACTGGACGCCGTCCGTATTTCGTCAGCCATTTTAGGGGAGAAGTAATACAAGGATCTAACGGAGAAGGACGACGCTGTTCTCAGTTGAAGTTTAGATAGTGACAACGACAATAATGCATTAAATAGGTTTTCTCTGCGCTAACACAGACTGAATGATTCAATTTGGTAACTGGAAAAAGGTGCGTTGATGTAGTGAAATAGTGGTTGTCGGGGATGGTGTTGATAAGCGATAAGCAAAAAAGTACTGCTTCCGGATAAACTAGCTCCCGCCCGCTTCCGGCCCCACCCCGGCCTGACTTCCTTTGTCGCTGGGTCCGAGTTGCCGTGGGTGCCTGACCTGCCTTTGGTAATTTTGCCATCACTCTTATCAATGACGTACTGTCATGCACTTATTGCTTTCGATGATTTTGATTGTATCCTTGATGATATTATTATGGTAGGTTGGATAGATACAGAAGGTGTGTGAAAAAAAAAACAACAACAAAAGGGAAATAAAAGTCATTGAGTCGTAAATCATCAATGGGGCAGTTTGCGATGACTAAGCATGTTTGCACTGTTTGTATTGCCATCCGCCAACATTTATCCCTGAAAGCACAATTTTCGAGTATGGGTATCAATGAGAAAATTTAAACGCCAGGGACTAGGGATGCAAATAGGAGATGCAGTAACAGGAAAGGGGAAGGCAGATGACAAACAACAGAGACAGATGAACTTGGGGGGGGGGGGGGGGTCGTCCACGAATGTTTTTCCCCCTTTACCGTCCATGAGTCGTAAAGGAGGGGGAGAGGAAGCAAGCTGGTTCAGGCCACCGTTTAGTTTTCTTGGCTAGTCAAGCGGTCAATGATCTTGTTCTGGCGCTCGATGGTTATATTGAGAGCTTCAATCTTCGACTCAAGGTCCGCAACGTGGCGCTTTAGGATATCGATCTCCTTTTCTTTGTCTCGCAATGCCTTGCGGTGGCGTCTTTCTGTTTCCATAACTTCATCGCGGTGGATGGCGTCACTATCGTGGAGCAGGGCCTTAAAGCGCAAGGCTTCGTTCTCTGCCGCCTCAACTCGACGGGTGGCGGTTGTCGTTGGTGGGTTTCGCGTCTGTAGTCCCAGCACTGACTCATCACGTAAGGCTGCGGCAATAGCTCGGGCACGCGTACTGTCGTTCAGTTCGTCTATTTCGTTCTTGACAAACCGTCCATTGCCTATGCGTTGGTCTTTACGGGCTTTGATTGCTCTCTTTCGTAGAGCCCCTCGGCAATTGTACCACTCCGGGTGCTGAAGCTGTGCCAGGCGGCTCCTCCACCTTTCGATGTTGGATGCGAGATACTCCTCGGGAACCAGGAAATTACCAGCATCATCCTGCTGGAAGATGACCCGAAAGTAAGGTTCTTTAATCTTTCCGTCCGAGTTCCAATATCGTGTGTATCGTTTACGGAAGGCGGGTGGCTGTTGTGCAATCTGGATAATATCCTTGTCCGTGAGAATCTTTGTTGCTGCATTCGGATCCAACGGCATCGTTGCAATACGTGAGACCTGTCTTCTTTTTCCTTTCTTTGTCTGTTGGTCCGGTTCAAGCATCTCGGGTGCGTCAAAGAAGGACTCCGAGGAAACTGAGTCACGGTCCATACTGTCGGATGGGTTTCTTTGGGCCCTGAGTTGGTCTCGCTGATTCTCCAAGCGTTCAAAGCGAGTGCGGAAGCGTTCGGATGCATTCATTCCATGATGTTCAGCGGCCAAGTCCTCAAGACGGTTGAGTTCCCGGTTGACATCTTCGAGGTTGTCTATGTCGAAAGGTTCTGGGGTCTTCAGGATCTGAGAGAGATTAACTCCCTGGCTCGAGCTGCTGGCCATACTCTCATCCTCCTGATCTGCCATGGTTTCTCAGGCTAGGAATGAGTATGCTGGTATCGGAACGCTGGAATCAGGCCACAGCGAAGGAGTAGAGATATGGAAGGCGTGTGATGAGGAGAGAATCATATGATGGGAGGTGAGAGAGAAGGACGAAGAGTGAGGGTGAGGTGAAAGATGAGCACAAGGTGAGGGGTGGAGGTGATTCGAGGACGCAGTGAATGCTCAGAGCCGCGACCCGGGATGGTGCGAAGTGAATGGTCAGGCAAAATAGCGGCCTGCCCGCAGGTCGATAGTTCTACCCTTCCATATACCGACCTCCTCTTGGTCGACGAGGGTAATGTTATGATGAGCCCTCTTTGCCTCCTTTGCTAGTCGTCTCGCCTCTCGGTTTAAGGGGTAGTAGCTATGGCCAGTTTTCTGTCTTCTGGATCTAAGTCGACTCCTGCCCATGTGAACCTGCATTGATCGATATACAGGTCCACATCCTCCCCAGACCTTCCGGAGAACGTGGGTTGACTCGACATGGCTTTACAGTGCTGAGTGGCGATTAGGAGTATATCGTCCTCGGAGAGAATCTTCGTGGCGGCATTCGTGTCCAGTTGCATCGTAGGTGTCTTCGACAATTGTGTCCTTCCCTTACGGGACATTGGTTGCTTGCGTGATGGACCCGTGTGCGCATCCTCAAAGGACATATCACTGTACTCACAAGCCATACTGGAGGTTGACATTGGCCGACTGGCGGTCAGTTGCTGGTGGGTGGGACCAGGTCCCCCGCCATTAGGAGACTCAGAGGACTCCTTGGTCATAGACACATCGGAGTTGGACGCACTGACAGCAGGCTTTTTGATGATGGCCTCAAGAGAAGCCTCAAGAGCATCCATAAAGTCAGGAGGATGCTTACCGTCGTTGAGTTCGCGCTCTAAAGTCTCTTTCTGGTTCACGAACATGGGCCACCGATTGATACCCCAGGTAATACTCCTGCACTGGTTCTGTGATTCAGGTATGCCGGCTTTGACGGAAGTAGAGTCTGATACCCGAAACCTTTCGTCTCCCAGTCCTGCTGTTCCGAATAAACAGAGGCCAACTCCCTTCGTTTGTCCCGGGCCGGTTGACCTCCAGTTAAACGTTCATAAGAACACAGTCTCCCGCGGAACTCGCACTCAGCACATGGCTGCAGCCCATTACAGGCCTTTTTCAGGCGGGCACAAGCATCGCACGCGTGCTTATGTTTACCTCCAGAATCCGCCTTGGGAATCTCCTGTCCTGATTGCAGACGTCTGGCGCACGTAGCCCAGTGTCGTCGAAGAACATCCCTGAGGTACAACATGTTAGTTGCATAGTAATCGCGGCACGCATGAGCCCTGCCTTACCCGCGACTATACGTAGAGCTGCAGAATTGGCATCGGTATTGTTTAGGTGGTTTATCTAAGGCAATCAGTCAAGCGTTGATGCATTTTGCGTGCCGCTTACGGATGAGTAGATGGCGCTTGAGGTGGTCACTGCGGTGAAACGTGAAGGAACAGATTTCACATCTCAAATGACGACCACCGAGGGAGCCTGTACTCATATTTTGCTCTATTTTCGGTTACCGGTGCTGGTGTGTATCTTGCATATGCTGTCTACACGGGCATAATAAGTTGATGGTTGATGTGCCGAAAAGATATCTGGTATTCTGGTTGCCTACGCCGAGGCCGAGGTGTGGGACATTAATCATCACCGACGGCATTCCCCCGCAAAGGTTGATGATTGATCCGTGAATTCGGCCGATGATCGACATAGTTTCGAATTCGATGACAACCACGACATGGGCTCGATTTAGTAATGGGAGTCAGTCACTGTATTGGTGGCAATGTTCACTCACACATCTCAACTGGATGGTTAATATTGTATTTCTTCAAACGATCAGTCTCTCCCCAACATCGTACACCAGTTGCTAAGTGAAAAGTCACGTGGTTTGTCTGATATTGGGATTGCAACCAGCGGCAGTGCTCCATCTCAACACATTCGTTCCGGAAACTTGTGGGGATAATGCTTCAAATATTTAATTTTACAAATCAGAGACGGAGAAGACCCGAAAAATGTGACTGCTTTGCGTCCTCTTTGAGCTTCTCAAACAGGAGAAGGCGGCTTTTATGTCCAGAATCCAGATATCCCAGAATACCTGGTACGATAGATCATGTATAACTCTTCAAAATCGAGATTAACTTCCACAGATCAAAAGCCTATGATTGGATGTGTCATAATTCCCAATCCTCCACCAAGAATTCACTCCGTATCCGTCGGGATCCCCCAACGACTAGCAGCGTGAATGCCGCCAGCTGACGATCAGTATGGTACCCGAGGTTCTGGTGAATGTGGTTGTATGCCGTCCAGTTCATGAATCGGATACTTCATCCTCCGACCCTCAGGGCAGGTATAAATTCCTCTTTAAAGGATACGGCTGGTGTTGCTCGACTCCGAAGGCTGTATTCAATCCAACCCAAAACTTAACATCACCACATTGAGGAAATATTCCTTTCAGATTTCTTTACCACAAGATGACCAGCGTCCAACAATACTTCAATAACTGGCCAAATGATGAAGGGGTACGTGTAAATGCACGGTTAAACCTGACGAGCGGTTGCTGACTGGTACGCTCCCTAGTTCGATGCCAACTATGAGGAACGTCAACCAGTTGAACTCTCCTTGACTGGTCATATCCCTGCCTACGCGGCAGGCGTTCTCTATCGCACGGGTCCAGGGAAGTATACAGTTGACACAGAGAACGGAGACACCTTCAAGATATCCCACTGGTTTGACGGCTTCAGCCAGACCCATCGATTCCAAATCTTGGCTCCAGATGAGTCCCATCCGTCCACGCGCGTATTTTACAACTCCCGTTTCTCGACAGATCTGTTGATCGAGGAAGTGAGGAAGACCGGCTCCTTGGAGAAGCTCAGCTTTGCCCAAAAGCGGGATCCCTGCAAGACTGTCTTCCACAAAGTGCAAACATCTTATGACCCGGCGAATGAACCATCCTTTCACAACATTGGAGTAACGCTGTCTGTCAACATGCCTGGTCTCGGTCTTGAGACCAATGACCGCTGGACGAAAGCTTCCGGAATCAAGACTCTGTATGCAAAGACTGATGCCAGTCACTACAAGCAAATTGATCCGGAGACTCTCGAGCCCATTGGACTCGCTGCGCAGAAGGATCTGCATCCTGATCTAACCGGCCCATTGTCGGCGGCCCATGCAAGATCCGACCCAGTCACAGGGAACGTATATAACTTCAACCTAGCTTTCGGTCCTGAAGGATCCATCTACCGCGTCTTCTGTGTGTCTGCTTCAACGGGCACCACGTCGATTCTGGCCCAATTCCCTGGAACCCCGGCATACCTGCATTCGCTGTTGATAACGGAAGACTACGTGATCCTCTGTGTGTGGAACTCGCACATCAATCCAGCAAAGTTCAAGGATTCTTTCGTGGAAGCCATTCAACCGTTTGACGCTTCGAAACCCGCAACATGGTACGTCGTCGACCGCAAGGGCAGCCGAGGGCTCCTCGCGACGTACAAAAGCCGCTCCTTTTTCTGCTTCCACACCATCAACGCATGGCAGGAACCTTCCGCCGATGATCCCAACCAAACCGACATCGTGGCCGAACTGGTCATATTCGATGATCTCACCATCATCAAGAGATCCTTCTACGAGAACATGCTTTCTTCGTCTCCCAGCGCAAAGGCCTTTGTCAAGGAAAAGCCGGATGGGTGTCGTTCAGCGCTGACTAGCTTCCGGCTTGCGGGTATTCCTTCGGCTCCAACATCAGAGGTCCAAGAGGCGTCCATCAACTGGACCGCATGCACGGGCTATGCTCCCGAGCTGCCTACCATGAACCCGAGATATGTCACGCAGAAGCATCGGTACACCTACGCCGTGACTGACCGCGACGAGTCGACTTTCTTCGATGGCATCATGAAATACGACAGCGTGGCCCAAGAGACTACTGTCTGGAAGCAGCATGGACAGTCGCCTGGAGAACCAATATTTGTCGCTGATCCTGCGAGCACTAACGAGGATGATGGCGTCCTTTTGAGTGTTGTGCTGGATGGGAAGACCGGGAAAAGCTGCTTGCTCTGTCTGGATGCGCGCGATATGTCTGAGCTGGGTAGAGCGCATCTCAACGGACCGGTAGGCTTTGGCTTTCATGGCCAGCATGTTCCTGCGAGTGAAGGGCTGCCCACGGGGGATTATTAGACCATAACTCTCTTGCTTCCGAGATCCTACTCCGGATGACCCTCTGTCCCTGCCGTTTCCGGCTCGTGTACTTCCTTTGCTTGCAATGTATATTGGATTTCTGAATCAATTGTATTTGGTAGTAATCAGGTAAGTTCGTGCGACGAATTCCCTGGCTCCTTAAGCGACACTCTACGTCATCAATACCACAAGACTGCTGATACCCGCCTGCTGCCTAAGTTATCTGACTCCTCTCTCCATCTCCTATATTTCGCTTCTCTCCCAACACCAAAACGCCACACGCCTCGCCAAAATGGACAGGCTACCCCAGGACATAGAACAAGCCGACCTGATCTTGGTATACACACCCAAGGCAGCAGCCATGCTTGTCGTCAAGTCTGCTTCAGCCAGACAAGATCCAAGCTCAAGCGCACCCTGTATTATCGTGCAGAAGGTGGACTGGCATATCCCAGGCTCCAAGGGACATTGGACCTTGAATGGACCAAACGTCTACTATGAAGACTCAGACTCAGACGAAGATGGAGACGCAGACGAGGAGGACGATGACAGGAACTGCACGGGCGAGGAGATGACCCTGGAAATGTACATTCACAAATTCAAATCCCAAGTTGAAGGTGACGATGAACCCAATGTGGTTGTCCGACCTCATGGGCGGTAAGTTCCATTCTTATTCCTCCTAGACTTCTGTCTCACTGTCGCTAGTGATGTCCTAAAGCATTACTTCTTCGGCAGCTGCCCCAATTGCGGCGTCAATGGATGGTTTTGCCGCGGCTGTCAGCAGATGTGGCCTGATCTCTTTGGTAGCTGTGGGGATGACCTGTCCTGCCCTGTCTGCCATGGGTATGATTTTGCTTGTGATGATAACATGGCTATCAGGTATCAGGAGACTCTTAAAGGGAGGCTGCGTCAGCGGCATGAGCACCAGCACGATTCCGCGTACTCAAAATCTGAGAGACGAAGCCTACAAGAGGAGATGCTGTCTTCGCTTCGGGATAGATATGAGTGGATGAACACACGAAGGGCGGAGATGGGGATGAGAAAGGAAGATGTGGATGAGTTGGTGAATGACTATAAAAAGATTTTTGCCAAGTGCTGGGGTTGGCTTGATTGATTTGCTAAACAGCGTGGCTCTGAATTTGCTCGTCTGTTAATGCGGATTGATACCTGACGGATGTTCTCGGCAGATTGCTCAAATTTGACTATTATCTCAGTTCATTCATCTATTCACTAATCTTGAGTCTATTCGCTCTACTTATTGAAACTTGTTTATTCACCTACAAAGTGACAGCTACAAACAGAAGTAGTGGATATCAGATATCAATCTTTATTATATATTCAGCCTCATCTTCCACTTTAAGTATCTTCCACCTTCCACTTTTCACCTTCCTTTCTTATCTCAACATCTTCCTTCTACTCATCATTCGGCTAGAAACAGTTTTCCGGTAGAGGCCGTGGACGACGATCGAGAATTGAAGTTCGACTTCTCTAATATTCCTGAAGAAACCCCGAGGGACGGGGCCCTAAACTCAAGTTGGAGGGCACGAAGAGGGAACTACAGGAGATTTTGAACCTTCAGGATAACCAGGAGCGGGCAGATTGGCTTCGGTCTGAAATGGTCAAACCACGGTGGACAGAGCGCTGGGACGACCATCTCAGCAAGAACGACGAGAAGGAAAGGGGGAAGGGCATTTGCGATATCCAAAACAGAATACTGAGTGGCGAGGCCCATGGCGTCCTTAAATACAGCACGGCCCGACCCTGCAAGGACGAGTCTACACGCGCTTGAGGCTGTAGGACCTCTCCGCCCTTGGTCTAATTTTCTTAGAAATTTCATATCAACAGAACACAAAGCCGGAAGTGTTGACACCGCCACTGTTCGGTCTGGCACAGGGCCATCCACAGGAGACCCTGCTCCTCAGCCATGCAGCGGTGGAAAGATTTATATTGACAGGCGGGGTCTCGCAAGAGCTAGCAGGCACAAGATTACGCAGTATTCTGCGACAGCTGATGGTCCGGCGGACTCGAATGGAAGGACGAAGTTAATCGAGAGTTTACCTTGCAATCTGAGAAGTGTATGGTTCTGATTTCGACATATTCCATATCGGCGGCGGGCTTAAATCTGGAAAAGCAGTCTCGAAATGGGCATTTCTTTTCGCCCCCAATCTCCCAAGTGTTGTAAACCAAGCAATTGGCAGAGTTTGTCGTCTTATACAAACCAAGATTGTTTTGATTTATCAGTATCTGACCGACAGTACGTTCCAATGCTGGCTTCATAAAGTGGAATGGCCAATGCCTCGTCAAACTGCACAAGGCCCACTGTGTCAATGAAACCTTCGAGAGTCCCTTGACGGAACAACACCTACCCAGTTGAAGGAATTCATCCCAGTCGCCGAGGCACAGATCGGCTGCAGGGTCTACCTGAACAGTCCATTCCTTGGTTACTCGGAAGGTACCTGTGGTCCACATGGGCGGATGCGCGTTCCGAGTGATGACCCCAACGAACTGAACTGCAATGGGTCAAGACGCGCCGGCTCTATTTAGGTCAAGAATTCATAGATCACCTCCAGGATGGCGTCTGCGGATCCGTGATCTGGAATGGCATGGAAATGTCATTGGATTCTTCCGTTATGCACCGAGTTCAGGCCACTTCCTGGACTGGTGTCTCGCTGTCGCATCTGATAATGTCATCAGACGCGGTTTTAAAATTGCAAGATAGTTGGCTCACATGGTGAAATTATTCGAAATGGGAATTATTTCAGATGATTACACTATAAACACGGGCTCCTGGTACAGTGGAAGAACATACAATAAAGAAGCTGACAAGTCTCTCACTCCATTAAGGAAACCTTCTGAATATAATGACTGGCCTTTGCTTGTTATTGAAGCTGGTCTTTCTGAATCAGAAGCATAACTACAAACTGATGCACACTGGTGGTTCTCAAATTCTGTCTACTAAGCAATATGGTCATACTCTTTCATATCCAGAGATTGCCTGAGCGCAGAGTCATCTTGAAAAACTCTATAACCTCAGACCAACCACCGCCAAAATCACGCGTGCACTACAGGCAGAGGTCGAGCGCTCTCTGCTATCTAATCATACAACTCCTCAAACAGACTCCCCAACAGCGCTAGGACCTCACTTAGAGGACAAAGAGATTATCATTACCTCAATAAGTGCTGAGAATGCTCCACTGGAGCTAGAGTATGAATCTGTTATGACCCCTAACACGATGGAAAGAAATATAACATTCACAGCTGAGGATCTTGCTGCGTGCTGCCGCCACGCCCTTCCAATAGCTTGAGCATGTCATGCCCATAAGGAATGCTAAGAATGCTTCACTTGAGGATCTTGCTGTGTGCTGCTGCAGAAGCCTGAGGGTTATTGTTACATAGTATGAATTCAAAGCTTGCTTTTTTGACAGGTATCCACATAGTAGTTTACAAGCACCTAGGCAGGCGTGAGGGCATCTGCGAGGGAGTCAGGGTAGCGGCACTCAATGATTTCGGCCCCGGCCCAAATGGGGTCATCTATGTGGGAATCTACGAGGGAATACGGGGGTTCGGTCTCTTAGCCTGTATTGCCTTTTCTGGCTTCATCCTTTCGCACTTCAGTCTGCTGTAGCCTCCTGGTGTATACTTGCACTATAACCGAAGCTGCCGAGAATTGCAATTTGAATTCATGTTCGAGTATATGGAATGAAAGTCATATCAATAACTAAGAATTTTGACAATTGAAATTATCTAAGGCGCCAGCGCCATGCCATGCCCTGCCATGCCAGCTAAAGAGCGACGTCCCATCCGAATCAACGAGCGAATCATCTAACCAATAATCATATCCATATGTCAAGGCCAAGAGCAAGCAAACTAAGCCTTAACCCCCGAAGCCGTAACCAAAAACTGCGCCGCCTCGGCCGCATCATCCCCATAGCTCAGATGCGCCAGAACATTCACCCCATTTAGGCAAACCGGGTCCCCAGACGCACAGTACTCCTTAACATCCGCCTTGGCCACCTTCCCAACAGCTTGGTCCTTGAATGGATCGCCAAACAGCACCGCCGCAGCAATCTGGCCCTCAGCCAGCGAGCTCGCCGCATTGTGCACGACCATCGCGCCCTGCGAGTAGCCGCCCACCACGACCTTGGTACTGGGACACTGCGACAGCGCCTGCTTCACCAGGTTGGCCATGGTGGGTCCGCCCGCGGCGCCGAGTAGGGCGTTCCCCTCGATAGAGGCCGGGTAATCGACGCCCTGGACGACGACCTTGTTGTTGAGCAGGGAGCGGAGCTTGGTTGCGACGGGGGGCCCGGCGATCGACCCCATGTTGCCTAGTTCGGAGGTACCGCGGGCGAAGATGAAGGTGAGGGGCTGGCAGGCGTCTTTGTTTGTGACGCCGTTTTCGGTGGAGCCTAGGAGGTCGCGTTTAGCGATGTGTTCTGGTTATTTAGCTTGTGCGTTTGCTGGAAGGGAAACGGAGACTAACCACCGAGGAGGCCGGAGAGGGCGACGCCTGAGTTGGAATTGGAGCTGGCGGCGGCGGTAGCGCTGCTGGTTGCCTCGGCGCTGGAGGCAGTGGTGCTTGCGCTCAGCCCTTTGAGCCCGCTGAGGCCGCTCAGTCCCGAAAGGCCAGAGGAGCCGGAGCTTCCCAGGCTACCTAGACTGCCCAGGCCGGGGATGGACGTGGGCAAGGTGAGTCCCGGAAGACTGAAGCCGCTTCCAGACGAGGAGGAGCCACCCAGAGAAGGGATAAGCGAGGCCAGAGCACCAAGACCAGACGAGGTGGAAGAGCCGCCACCGCCCAGAGWAGGAATGAGCGAGGCCAGAGCACCAAGACCAGAAGAGGTGGAAGAGCCGCCACCGCCCAGAGTAGGGATRAGCGAGGCCAGAGCACCAAGACCAGACGAAGTGGAAGAGCCGCCACCACCCAGTATAGGGAAAAGAGAGGCCAGAGCACTCAGTCCATCGGTGCCGGTGCCGAACTGACGCTTCTCAAGCTCGGAATGAATGGTTCTAGTGGGTGCGCCGGCGGCAAGCCCAGCGAGGAGAACGACGGTAGTGACGGATGCCTTCATCTTGTCTTGAATTATCCTCAAAAGAATGAATAGAGCCCAGCTCTAGTAGGAACGAGTGACTGATGAGAATGAAAGTGATCTTGTGTGCTTCCTCTGCTCTGCTCTGGCTGAATCTACTTTGAGACGACGCAAGCAGACTCTTTATACCTCTTCTCTCCATCCTGAAACCGGCATTTACTAAGTTCAACCGAGGAAGATAAAGATAAATGCCGACCTCAATCGCAGGCTCGGTGAACTGGATGCGCGTCCCTGTTTCATCGCATCCAGGGAATCTAGGATCTAGCAAGACGGTAGTCGTTAGGGCTGTGATCTGTAGGCTGGAGTTTACACGGAAGATCTTCGGAGAATCTCTGATCTCCATAACCCGGGGGGAAGTTTCATGTTTGAGCCTCGATTCAATGCACAGGTCACGTTCAACGGACGGTTTTGGATAGGACTGCGAGAGACTCTGCTCGGCGATTGCCCGAGTTTGGAGATCGCCGTCACCGTTCAAATACCGAGGGCTCAATGCCGAAGATTTGAATCAATCGTGCGACAGGTTTCCTTTTGAGAATATTCATGGTCATCTTGCTTCTATCAGTACCTATCTCGCCGCAGTCATATCCTCAGCGAGGTGAGAGACCCTATGAATCGATCTGAGACGGAAAGGCATCATTATTATTCCTGCCTATTCGGACTCGAGTATTATTTTGGTTCATCACAAAGGCGTGATATGGACAAGCCTCAAAAATGGGTCAGTCAAGCCCAGCAGGCCCTCATGTTTCATCCTGCAACACCTCGGCATCAACCGGCGCAGCCCTCTGTGGGTCTGGACTATGGAATGACCGGTAAACTCAATTGACAGAACCGATTACCTCGTTGGATCGATCGCCAAATCTGAAGCAACATGACTCGTAAATCGGGGTTGAGTTCAGCGTGGCTTGTATTGCTGTCGCAGGGTGAATCAGTTTTGCTTGAAACGGGCATTTTGTTCGGAGGGTCGGTTTAAGACCTCCGCTGGTGATTGGTCAAGTTGCTGGATTATTGATCGATTCTTGATCGCATAGGATCCATGATCTGAAAAATGATGAGTTTTTCTAAATGCGAGATGGTGAGGTGTTTGAGCTGACGACACGGATGACAGCTGACAGATGACAGATCACGCTGAGGTGAAACAAATCTTGACAGGAAGGACACAAATCGGGATAGAGATGCGGAGTTCATACGTCTACATACGGAGTACACCTAACTAAATCACTCTTGGTCTCACTCTCACCAACACATCCTCTCCATCCTTGATTGACATAATCCCCAGCACAGGCTTCCCCTCCTCAGCCGCCGGGATCCTGTTCGTCACCAGCTCCACATCAAATCGCCGCAAGAGCATCGCAACAAACAACAACACAAACCGCTTAGCAACATATCGTCCAGGACACTGCGTCGTCCCACCCCCGAACGGTCGCCAGTTATCGCTCCTGGTCAGATTGCGACCCTTCTGCATGAACCGCTCGTGCCGGAACTCTTCGACGGGATAGTCCACGCCGAAGATGCTCTCGTCAAAGTGTAGTTGCCGGTAGGGGATCATCAGTCGGTTTCCCTTACGCAGGATTTTGCCGCCGATGATGGTGTCGGATGTAACGAAGCGTACGGAGGCAGAGTACGCGGAGAGGCGGATCGTTTCGTTCCACATGGCGTCGAGGTGGGGGCAGTTGTCGTGTAAGTAGTCCAGATCGGGGATTGACTTGTCAGGCGAGAAGGCCGGGAGCGTCTCTTGCCGGATGATGTCGACGTATTGCTCGGGACCGTAATGCAGGATGTAGGTGAGTAACCAGAACGCTGCTTTGCGCGTGTTCGTGTTGATCCTACGCTGTCAGCTTCCTAATATGCAATCGCAAGTAAAATGAAGCATCATACCCCCAGTATATCGTCACCAGCATCGTGGCAATGTCATCCTCGCTGATACCCAAGGCGCGCATCTCGTTCTCCATCGCCTTTGTGAACCATGCATCGCCCTGCCTCGTCTCCTGGGGCAGTTGGATATACTTCTTCAACGCACGCTGGATTGCATTGCGCGCGGATTTCATCTCCCCCGCCAGAAAATCAGGATACTGATACAGAACCTGCCAGCTCAGCTCATCGAAAATAATAAACGTCTGCGGGAGCTTGGGGTCGATCCCGTCCAACGACGGCCCAAAATATGCCCGCTGGCCGGCCCTGGTGAAATAATCAGAGCACCACTGCATCAATGGCAGGACGATCCCATCGTCTTTCTTTGCCGTTGGAAGATCACTCTGGATCGCATACGGACATTCCCGCTTGAGCGCGTCCATGGTCAGCCGAGGTTCCACCCAGTCCAGGAACTGCTTCTCCAGGAAGTCCAGATTATCCCCCGGATACAATTGGTGGATGTGCATCTGGCGCGCCAGAGTCGCCAGCGGTTTGCCATGCGGATTGGGGAACCCGGGCTTGTCCTTGGACAGGGGGTTGTACATTGCCTTTACACAAGACTCGGTGTTCCCGCAGGCGCGCATCATCGCTTGCACAAATTCGTTGAAGGAGAGAGTGTCGGTGTTGCGGTACGCCTCAGCGACATCTTGGGGTTTAGTGATGACGTAGATGAGGGAATTGGCAATAGACAGGGCGAACGGATCTTGGATGTTGTTGTAGTAATTTCTAGGTACTTGGTCAGTACGATGCCTTGGCGGAGAATGGCGACGCACCTTGCTCTGGATAGAAGGGCATTGGAATTGCTGAAGAATGCCGCCCCATGTCCTAATTGCAAATTAACAAGTGCGTAGCCGAGGCTCACAGGAAATACGAACCCAGGACTAGACGTGATTAGTTCAGGCTTCAATGCTAAGAGGGGGGGTAACCTACAAGGAATCCAGTATGGTAGTTCCTTCGGATCGTTAGGATAATACGAAGGCAATATAGTGAACCGCCATATTCTCCATAAGACCAGAACACAAGCAGAAGTAAATGCAACCGTCAGAGCTGGATACTCCTGATTAACACGGGAAGCCCCTTGAGCGATCCAGTCGATCGCTGCGGAGACTGCGTCAGAAAGCATGATGGGTTGGAGGCGACAATCCGGTCGAGGAAGACGTAACGGACGCGGCTCGGTTTATGTACTCGCTACTGAAAGCGAGTACATAAGTGTACATATTTTCTAGCCAGTGAAATTCGTCCGTATTGCTGTTGGTGTTGGCAGGCGCCAAACCCATGTCAATATATCGCTTAGACGTACGTTGAAGTCCGAAGAGGGGCTCTGTCGAGATGGGCTGAATCAGATGGGCTGTTGTCTATATAATAACGTCTCGACTGTTGTCCGGTGTTGGTGAGCATTATGTTTCCATGATACCAATTGACTATAGCCATCATGCTCGAGATTCTCGTCATCTTCCTAATATTTTGTCTCAGACGCATTCGTGGTCTGTGGTATCTGGCCCGGGGACCAGATATCATTGACAAGGCATATCTTTCAGTGTGTGAACGTTCTTCCTCGTTCAGGCAGTGATACGTTCTGACTGAAACAGGCAGAGGGGAAGCCATTTAAGATATCTACTCCCTCAAATGATCACTGGCTAATTACGTCGAACGATCTCATTACGGAGCTGGTCAACGCGCCGCTTCAAAACCTGTCACTACATGCTGTAGCTAAAGAGGTACGCCCCTGGCCCTGACCCTGTTGAAGCAGAAGGTAACAGAAGATGCAGATTCTACAACCAAAATACACCATGTTTGGCTTTGAGTGGCAGGACCAACGAGGCGTCGAGGGGACTGGCTTTGTCCGTGCCTTGCGAAGTAGGCTTACGGCTCATCTGCCCATTCTAATGCCTGACTTACAGAGGATCGTCGAGACTGCCATTGCAGACGAGCTTGCAGTGCCGGGTCACGACGGTAAGTGGGGGCCAGCCCTTTGGTTATGCTTGATTCTGACTGCAGCAGGATTCGTGCATTGCAGATTGTTCTCTATGATCAAGCGAACCGTCACAAAGGTCAATTGCTTCGCCTTCTTCGGGGAGGACCTTGGTACGATTACCTCCTTGGCACGTCAGTCCCACCAGGCTAATTATGTCGCAGCGCAGAATCCGGAGTTCACCGCGGCTGCGTTGGAATTCCCACAGAGGGTCATCCTAGCGGCTGAGATTCTGCGTATCACGCCGGATTTCCTCCGACGGTGAGTACTCGATACAAAACAACTGAATTGGCCTAACAGACCACAACAAGGTCCGTTGCGAACCTAGTGACGCGACAACACTACGCCGTCAGGACACTATTCCGCTATCTGGAGCCAATTGTGGAGAAGCGGTTAGCAGCGAGGGCCAAATCGACCAGCTCTATGCAAGAAGATGCTCCGGTTGGATTCAGCTTTGGTACAAATTGGTCGCTCGGCTAACGGCCTGCAGATGGATTGCATGCAGTGGCTGATTGACACGTCGCCACGGAAGATACAGTGGACCACGACCAGAATGGTTGGCGAGATTATCGCGGTCTGGTTTGGCTCGGTGCACCAGCTGGCAATGGTGAGGCAGCAAGCGAGAAACGTTCTTTTGGATCAGAGAGGAAAAATTTTAAGGCTAATCGTTTAGCGGTGACTTAGACCACCACATACGCCATCGAGGATCTCTGTCTGCATAACGACTATGTTGAGCCGCTTCGAGCCGAGATCCAACAATATCTCCCCAGCTCGTGCAGGAGGAGGGTGGCTGAGATGCCGCTCCTCGACAGTTTTGTGAGGGAATCGATTCGCTGCACCAATTCGGATGCAAGTGGGTGTTGACAACCCTTCTGGATGGTTTCATGCAACCCTTGCTGATTTAGGCAGTCACCGTCCGACGGAAAGCGCTGACACCATTCGTATTTTCTGATGGACTCGAAGTCGCAGAGGGTGATTGGGTATGTATCCCGCAACGAGCAATGATGCGCGATCGGATCAGATACCGCAATCCGCAATCATTCGACGGGTTTCGATTCGCCAGAGCAAACAAGCAACTACGCGCGGGAGATGTGCCTCTGGACGTACCCGAGAGCAGCCCTCTGACGATGACAGATGTTAGCGTGGACTGGCCAATTTGGGGGCTGGGAAACACCGCCTGGTGAGGGGAACTCTACCCCTCACTATTTTTATCGTAAGACCTAGTCTGAAGCTGACATGCTTGATGATCCATAGTCCCGGCAGGTTTTACGCCGCAACAATCCTCAAGCTGATTATGGTGTGTATTCTGGAGGGATGGGAGTGTCGGTTGGAAGATCCCGGGAGCCAACGGTGGAGGACGTGGCGGTCGAGCATAGTACCCCGCGAGGGTACAGTTGTACTCTTCAAGAGAAAAGGAGAAGCGTTGACTGGTTGATGGTGATGATGATAAGGATGATCCTTGATAGTTATTGGCTAATGGATTGGCTATGGGCAATTCTGCAGAGTGTAGACGCAGCTAAAAGCAGATCGACATCCGAGCCACCACCACATCCTAGCAGCCTAGGCGATGTTGATCGGATGGTGACATTCAGGTCTCACTTTGCTTTTTCCCTCCTGCCTTGGCACTCCTGCACGTTCCACCAACAATCCAATTGACAGTTGCAGTGGGATGGACTATCCATTTTCCCATCATGCCTTGAAAGCGGCCCCCTGCAAGCTGAAGTTGCAGAATGGAAACCCACCAGTGAGAGAATCAGTTCGTATCCCACACTTGGCAGCTTCTTCACCGGCTGTAAGGCTGGATGCACGTTGCCTCCAATGGATGCTCATTCGACCGTTGCGTGAAGTAGGAAGTGTGATCCGAGATCATCTTGCCTTTACCTCGTACGGAGGATGCCAAGTTGGCCCATTTAGGAGGGGGTGAGACAACAATTCGTGTTATTCTACTCATTAGTACTATCTCGGCTTTCATAAATTAAGAACACGGATTCGAGTTTCTCTTTGACTATCCTCATCATATGGTCTGCGTCATACACTTATCGATCCTTTGTTGACCTCGAATAAGCGCAAAGCATAATTGATCCACAACTTAAAAGAACAAAGAACAACCCGTGACACGATCCTCCTAAACCTGGAACTAGAACTGTTTTAGATTTACTTATAAAGCTAATACCTTGAGCTCTTTGTTCGGGGAGAAGCACCTTTAGGCAATAGATATTAGCATGTCAGTGCGTCGGTAACACTGGCCTGGATGCAATGCGATCAGCAAATGGCCCCAATAAAGTCAACAGCGCGCATTTAGATCGAAGTAATACTCTACTCCCTACTCGATATATCCAAGGCAACAGACAGCATGATAGTTTCCATGCTGTCTTCGCATCATGTCTTCCCTCCCACCAGGAACGGATCTTTGCGCCATCCCAGCCGCTCAACCTCCACCAGGCCAGACACCTAACTTCGTAAATCCACCGTCCTTGGCCGGTGCGACCATTGCGGTGACAACAGTGACGCTTACTTGGGCGGCCCTCTTCACAGCAGCGAGGCTGTATACAAATTTTCGGAAGATGCATTGGGCAGACGGTAGGTGGCGATGCCAAAAGCGCTCATGAAGGACACTGACGAGCGCTGGTATAGGCTTTGTGCTCATCGCGCTGGCGCTGTCCGCGACATATAATGGCTTGGTTCTGGCTAGTCAGTTTCTGCTTCAAGAGATTTATCGCAGAGTAGACTAATGATCTTATCTAGTGCTCAAATACGCCCGTCATCAGTGGGATATACCAGCCTGCTGGTTTACGGGCGGATACATGAAGGCATGTCTATTCCTAGCTGCTAGCTCTTCGAGTGCTTACCATGCGGATCTCCTAGATTCTCTACGCGCAAGGAGTTCTCCTTGGGCCCGTCATCTTCTTTGCGAAATCCTCCATTTTCCTTCTATGTCGGCAGATCTTCACCATCCAGAAAACAATGAAGTACGCCATCCGGTTCGGTCTGCTCTTCACCTTTGTCCTATACTGGCCGGGAGTCGGTCTGGAATCGTACTTCGCCGCACCGCACATCGGAGAGACATGGGAGGATTTGCTGGTCAACAAGAGACCAGAGCGCTTGATATACTGGGGTATCGTGCAGGGAAGCCTCTCCGTGGTTCTGGACATCTACATTTTCATTCTGCCGCTCCCGCTTCTCTCGAAGCTCCAACTTCCTCGCAAGAAGCGATGGCAGCTCTTGATCATCTTTTCGACAGCCATGATGTACGTGGAAAACCCTACGAGAAACGCGAGGAGATACTGAGTTGTGCAGGGGAATCGTCGCCAGCGTCATCGCCCTCGTTTTTCGCGTCCGGCTCCTAACCACATCTGACACCACCTTTACTCAGAGCGCGCTCTTCATCTGCGTGTAAGCTCAGGAAAGACCATTTGTGACATCGCTGACCAATGACGAACCAGAAACGTCGAGAACAACGTCGCCATCATCGTCAGTTCGATGCCTTTCTTCGCGACTTTCTTCAGAAGCCACGTCCTGGAATCGGCACTTCTCAAGACTCTACGTTCACGACTAAGCTCTAGCGGTGGTCGCTCCGTTGTCGGAACAGTAGACCATCACATGGATAAGCCTAAACCGTCCCGATCTCCTCTCCTGGACGATGCGACGGGGCAGTACCATGAGCTGAGAGACTTTGCTTATGCAACGAACACCCAAATACAGGCAGGAGGGGGGGGAAAGGCCGTCAACGCAGGGGAAGGGAATCTCTCGTGAGGTCAACATTGAGCAGGAGATTCGGGAGTATTCCGTTGTATGATACCGCTGGCGTTGTTGGGTTAGACAAGGATATTGAGCGGGAGATTCGGGCGTATTCCGTTGTATGATACCACTGGCGTTGTTGGCGTAGACAAGGATCTTGTCGGAGACCTCCTGTTAATAGTAATGATAAACCATGTCAATGTTGTCAATGATTCATTCACATGCTGCAGATAACGCTTTCAACTTGTTCTCGACCAGGTCCTCGACACAGACAGACGGCCTGTCCCTGCAAGGACTTCGGTTATTCCCTGCCCAGTCTACCATTTTGGCCCCTCGCGTCGTAGTCGAGTTTCTCCGATATTCGTGATGTCGATCCGGATAGGATTCTCGACAGATTACTGTCAAACAACCATGCAAGTAGAACCCGCGTCCCACTTACCAAGCGATCCGGATCCCGACATGATTCCATGGAAACAGGCAGCGATAGTCGTGATCTAAAATAGAAACGTGGTTATTAATTTGCGACACTGTTGCACTTGCACAGGCTGGTGTGATGGCTAGAGCTTAGCTGCAGATGCAGCATGCAGTAGTCCAAAACTGGCCGAAGACCCGCAAGTCCCCGTCAGTCCTCCCAGCCTGATCTTTTCCCCTCTTCTGTCATCTCCGTCGGTCTCTTCTCCGTCACAGTTATACTTTATAGCTGGAAGCCAAGCGTCATTACAGTTTAGGATCAACATCGTGGATATACTATGATGTTCTTCGAAGATTGTCAGTAGGAATCTTCAAGTATTCAGTAGATAGGCAGCAGAGGCAGGATCCTTGCCATAAATCTAATCAACCTCCTATCATACCGTAGCACAACAGTGTATAGACCCCTGTCTGTCTCCTTTAGTCCTTCACATAAACAAGATCTTCCCATCCGTAGACAACAATTGTCTCAATCTCAACCTCAAACAGAACAGCATCACATCTTCATTTCCATCCAAGAGAGAACATGCCCAAAACCATCCTCATCACCGGCTGCTCAGCCAACAGCATCGGCGCGGCGCTCGCCCTCTCCCTCGCCAAAAGGGGCCACCACATCTTCGCAACCGCCCGCTCACCCGCTAAAATCCCCTCCCCCCTCACCACACTCTCCAACGTCACCCTCCTGCAGCTTGACGTGACATCTCCGGCCTCCGTTGCCGCGGCGGTCAAGGCCGTGCAGGATCACGGACACGGGCTGGATGTGCTGGTCAATAACGCCGGAGCGGGGTATACGATCCCCCTGCTGGACGCCGACCTGGAGTACGCGAAGCAAGTCTACGAGACGAATGTATGGGGTGTCGTGCGGACGATCCAGGCATTCGCGGACTTACTAATTGCCAATCGTGGGAGGGTGGTTAATGTCAGCAGTGTGGGGGCCGCGGTGAATACGCCCTGGATTGGTATTCTATTCCCTCCTCCCCTCTCTTCTTCCTTCGTATTTTGTGTTAGGAATAGATAGATTGACAGGGTTAACGTGCAGGGGTATATTCGTCATCCAAGGCGGCCGTCGTGCAGATTTCCGAGACCCTTAGGTTGGAATTGGCCCCCTTGGGCGTCGGGGTTGTTTGTCTGATGGTGGGCACCGTCAGCACCTCGTTCCATGATAACGAGCCACAGGTGGTTCTGCCGGCGGGCTCGCGCTATACGGCGATCAAGGATGTCATCTCGCAGTGGGCGACGGGCCAGGCGGGACCGAAGGGGTGCTCGGTTGAGGAGTTTGCAGAGTCGGTTGTAGGGGATGTTTTGGGGGCCAAAGGCAGCGGCAGCGGGGGGGTGGTCTGGAAGGGACCTAATAGTGCTGCAGTCAGGATTCTGTCGCGCTGGTGTCCGTCTTGGTTGCTGGTAAGTTATGAGTTTACTCTTCCTTGAGACGTGTTGAGCTAACGGGTTAGGATCGTATGATGAGCAATGGGCAGGGATTGGATGAGCTGGAGAAAAGTGTGAAGAGTTGAATTGTCCATCGTGATGCAACTAGTTACTTGTAAAAGGGACTTTGAAACCACCAGGCACCTTGTTCTTGAAGACCCCCTTTGGATCCACGACCTGACTCACTCGCTGCAGCTTCTCGACACTCTTCCCTCCATAGGTAGCGATCGGATCTTGCCACTCGGCCGCGTAGTTCAGATAGACATATGGCTCGTATGCATCCAACTTGCGCGCGTCGTCTTCAATCCCAGCAAAGAGTGCGCGCGCGGCTTGCTCGACTTTCGCATCGTCTGCCTCGTCGTCCCACGTAGCACTGAGGAGCGTGACGACCAGAGCCCCGGAAGCCTCCGACAGACCCATGGAATTCGTAGTAGAACCCCGAGCATAGATCGCAGGTGGTAGTGGCTCCAACGAGATGGACCACACAATGCCAGGAACATTCTCGATGGCCGCCAAACTGGAACTCCACCGTAGATATGTTGCATTGAGCATGGGGACGGTCGATGCATGCGTCGTCACGGCAGACAATTGCCTGTCAGGTCAGCGCTGCCTGCATGTAGTTACGGACAAAAAAATGCATACCTCTTCCCGTTCGGCGCAAACGACCCCTGCTCCAGCGACATCTCATGCATGCTCGCCACACGCATCGTGCTGAACATCGATGGGATCTTCATAATCGGCTCAAAGACGGCGGGCCGTTCCTCAGCTTTCGTATACACAACGCTATTAACCACCGCCGATCCCTTTCCCCTCGCAAACCCAAAACTGGTAATCAACGACGCATACTCATCATATCCCTCGGCCGAGTTCAGCTCCGCAAATGCACGCAGCTGCTCGTCAATAGTATCAAGAGAATAATAAGCAGTCCCGCCCCAGATAGGACCTTGTTCAAACGCACGAAGGTCAACCCTTGTAACGATACCAAAGTTCCCCGCGCCGCCGCGGAGTGCCACAAGAAGATCGGGGTTTTCTTTCTCGTTCGCCTGCACGACCGTCCCGTCTGCAAGCACGACCTCAAAGTTGGTTACCGTGTCGCAGGTCCAGCCGTATCGCGGCGAAAAGTAGGATATGCCTCCTCCGATGGTGAGCCCGCCCACGCCAACCTGTGCGGCGCGCCCGCCGGCGACAGAGAGACCTAGAGGGTCGAGAAAAGCGTAGACATCGCCCCAGGAGGCGCCGACACCGACTGACACTGTCGAGCGATCATCGCTGACGGCGATGGAATTGAGGGCGCGCAGGTCGATGGTGATGCCGTTGGCTATGTTGCATGCGCCCCCGAAGCTGGTGTGGCCGCCGGAGCGAATGGCGAATTGGCAGTTGCTGTTTGTGATGGTGGTGATGGCGGCGGAGACCTCTTCTACTGTGGTCGGGGAGACGATGCACAGAGGTTGGAGGTTGGAGTTTTGTTGCGAGAAATAGGAGTCTATGCATGATTTGTAGTGATTGGTGGGGGGAAATGAGACTTTGTCATCACCGAGAACGGTGGACAGAGCCAGGCACTGTTGTGGTCAGAATTGTAACTGCAGTTAGTAGTTGTACGATGTGGACTGGACTCAGAGGAGCAGACGTACGCAGATCCCCATGGCAGAAGTAGGATCCACTACTGGATTGGTAGCATTATCGCTAACCATGGGTAGCTGGTTGATTTCCATCCTGCAAGGTTTGGCTAGTATCGGAGGACAAAGAAATGAATACGAGAAAAAGAAAAGAAATAGAGTTGAGGAGATGAAGCAAGAAAGTCCGACAGGATCAGACTAGGAGTCATTTATTATACTACCTTAGTTCTTTGTTGTTGGCAGTCCATGCGTCGGACCTTTCCCTTAAGTGTTCTACCCCCTCTTCGGCTTCTGCAACTGCAGTTCCCCTCCGCCGTTACACAAGGATGTCCTCCTCGTGGCCTCCTCGTGGCCTACTAGTCAGAATGGACGTTCGTAGCATTCTATATGCTATCTTCATTCTACCCTCGTTTGCACTTGCAACGCCCACTTGTGTAAGGCGACTATCCTTCTTAGCAAACTACTTACTGACTCTGTCCAGTGTCAGACTTTGACAAGTACCCTCGGCTCAAGGGTAGTATATCCAAATAGCACGGCATATGCATCTTCGGTATCGTCATACTGGTCCCAGCAAGAGCAGCTGATCAGTCCTTCGTGCGTTCTGTCCGCAACTTCTGCTGAGGATGTCTCCAAAGCGCTGCAGGTTCTTGTTCCCAAGGCCTGCAAGTTTGCTGTGCGCAGTGGTGGTCATGGAGCAATTGCTGGGATTGCGAACATTCAAGACGGTGTGACTGTTGACCTCAGTGCTTTAAATTGGATCGTTCCCTCCAAGAACGGAAGCCTTGTGTCAGTCGGACCTGGACAGCGATGGGGAGATGTATACGCAGCTCTAGACAATATTGGAGTGTCTGTACCAGGGGGCAGAGATAGTCCTGTGGGAGTGGGAGGGACTACTTTGGGTGGTAAGCTAACCTATAACATAAACTGAACCTTTCTGACAGTCTAGGTGGCTTCGGCTACTTTGCTACGCAAGCTGGTTTTGCCTGTGACAACATTGTCGAGTATCAGGTGGTCCTCGCGAATGGCACAATTGTCAACGCGACAAAGGACAATGAGCAGGATCTTTGGCTGGCTCTCAAAGGAGGATCCAATAATTTCGGTGTTGTGACCAACTTTGTCTTCAGGACGTTTCCTCTAGGGAAGATATGGGGAGGGGATATCTACTACCCAGCGAGCACACTTGACCAGCAGCTGGACGCATTCTATCGTTTCACATCCGATCCCAATTACGACGTCAAAGCCGGACTCATCCACAATTTTGCGTTCAGTCCAGCCACGGGTCCTATGCTCACCAACCAATTAGCCTACGCGAGTCCCCAGGAAAATCCGGCCCCTTTCAGACCATTCACTTCTATCCAGCCTCAACTGATGGCCAGCACTCAGGTGATGACTCTGGCAGCTCTCTCAGCCAAGGCAGGCTCGCTGTCCCCCAACTCTCGCCAGTAAGTCATCATATTCACAACAGTGACCACTTCCTAACAGGGATAGACAAATCACATTCGCAGTCACCTTTGAGAACGACCTTGACCTGCTGAAGCAAGTCTTTGGGATATGGAATGCGAGCACCGCTGACGTATCAGCTATCCCCAGCATCCAATGGACCATTAGCCTTGAACCCGTCGTCCCCGCCATAGCATATCAGAGTGCGACCAGAGGCGGAAATGTCCTGGGGTTAGACGTACCAAAGCAAGGTCTCGTCCTGGCACTGCTATCGGCCACATTCAACCATTCACAGGAGTATCCCACAGTCAGTGCGGCGGCCGAGAGACTTTCGAACAATATCATCAGTGCCGCCAAGGCAGCTGGCGCCTATAATCCGTATATTGACCTCAACCATGCTGCGTCCTGGCAGGATCCTATCGCGAGCTATGGAGATAAAATACAAGCATTTCTGAGACAAACCGCTCGGAAATATGACCCCCAAGGTGTCTTTCAACGTCTGTGTCCGGGAGGTTTCAAAGTCAATGGAATGCAGTCAGTTTGTACATAGATGTTGTCAATATTGAATCTGGAGCAAGATTAGCTCTGTCTTCACCTCGTTGCTCTGGCAGAGGCCATTGGTTTTACCAGTCAGGATATATCAGCGCTTTGTTCTTCCTAAAGATCCCCCATCATCAAAAATAGCAAGTATAACGACAAGAGCTGCACTCCTGACGCTGTTCAGACATACTACTCTCAAACCGCAGGCTGGGCTCCCAATAAGGTAATAATCCAGGCATGTCCAGCAGTCCGTTTCACTGCACTGGTGGAGCAAACGGCAGACTGACTTGCTGTGGCTCCAGCCGATGGGACATAGTCATAGCGACAGTTGTTACAGGTTCGTTGGGCGGTTACAGTATAGTTAGATCTGATCTGAAGTGAAGTCGCAGAAATTTGAGCTTGATACAACGATGTCGATATCAGTTTCTATTTATGCAGAACTTGTCTAAATATGTACCAATTGTGTACTTTCAACACCAGTTCCTCCCCATGATATGCTCCATTTCGTGCCGATCAACTAAGCGTGAGCATGTCTCTTTCTCTTAATATGCGACCGAACACCCCGCTGGAATACCTTGATGGATCCCACCAACGAAGCGGGCTTCGGTGTGAGGTCCTGGCCGGCATTCGGCGGGCCAGGGAACACCTTGTTGCTGCACGATGCGTCGAGAGCAGTGCATTTGTCGGACCAGATCTGGCAGTGTGCTGAGCCAGTTGGAAGCGCTGTGTTCCAGCATACATCGGCTTGGTCCCAGCAGTTTTTGGATGACTGATTTGTCAGTATACATTTATATCAGAAGGAAAGGGGGAAAAACTTACAGCCCAGCAACCCTGCTCGTCTGTATACGAGGGCACCTCGAATCCACACCAGTTGTCTCGGACGAGGATACAGCCTTCTGGCTTGAGGCCTTTGTTCTGGACGAGCATCGCGCGCTTCTTCTTCTTCTTGTTCTTGTTCTTGTTCTTGGTATTCCTCTTGGTCTTGTTCTTGCAGACGTTGGCGGGGACTGATTCCGGTTTCCCGGATTCAGTGTTGGTAGAGGCAGTATTGGAAGATGCAGCATTGGCAGACTTGTCGGATCCAGTATTGGCAGATGCAGAATTTCCGGACGCAGTACTGCCGGACGCAGCATTGGCAGATGCAGAATTTCCAGACGCAGTACTGCCGGACGMAGCATTGGCAGATGCAGAATTGCCAGACGCAGCATTGGTAGACCCAGCATTGGCAGACGCGGTACTCGCAGACGCAGTCTTACCCGCCTCATACACCGGCGGCCCATACATAGGGTACGGCAGCTCCAACGGCTTCTTGTAGATATTGTACGTCATACCCGGCAGACTGAGATCATACGTCCCCTCGCCAATGTTCACCGTGGCCGGCTTAGCCGTCCCAGTCGACTGCACAAACACCTGCGCACAGCCGACATAGAACTGCGGATCGGGCGGGCTATCCTGCGCGGCATGCAGGGCCAGCAACTCCGGCCGCACAAGGTAGTAACCTCCCTCGATATCTGAGGGAATCTGCACGGAGATATGCCCGTTGTTCTCGATCATCTGCTCGGTGCACCACTTGCCGGCAGTCGCGTCGTAATCCGCCTGCCAGATCTTGAACCACCCGTCGCCGGCGGCGTTGTTGTCGGCCGTCGCGTCGTCCACTTTCTTCATGTACACGGCGCAGGGGCCCTTGTGGCTAATGTCGATGGAACCCGGGCGCGAGCCGTCGGCGTATTCGCGGAATTCGAAGGTGAGAGTTGAGGAGGCCTTGGCGGGGCAGACGCGCGCGACGCCTTTTTCGCCATCGTATCCTTTGTCTGTTAGGATTGACACTCAAAGGGGATGAGATGGGAGGACTTACCACAGGCGATGTCCTTGCTGGAGAGAGGCTCAATGGGAAAGCTCACTTTGCTTGGGTTGCGGTTCATGCGGACACAAACTCCGTCGCCTTGGTTCTCTCCATCGACGTAGAGAGTGGTGAAGACGGTATGAGCATGAGCAGATGTAGTCAGCAGTGCCAGCACTGCAAGGAGGAAATTTCTATACATTTTGTCAAAGGAATGAATAAGTGGGTAAAAGGAAGGACAAACTGCGTCAAGCAGATGAGAAGACCTGAGAAGGAAAGAAACTTACATCAATCAGGACAATCGACTCTCATCTTGTTTAAATACTTTAGAATCTAGTCTAGACAACGAATATAATGACGAAGGATCGGCCAAGGGTCTTTGCAATCTTGTAAGAGCGCTTAGGATAACGCCCTCGTTAAGCGCCTGCGCTGAATGGCTGGTGGAAATAAAGCAGGAGGGCCAACAATGCAAGGGCCCATATCCACTGCAGATTCTGGTCGATTCTCATTGAAGATTCAGGCGATATACGATGGATCGTGTTTCAGAAATGCAGGTGGAGATGATTCTCAAACACGCCTTCGTCTTGGCAGGGCATTGGCGATCCTTTGTATTAATGGTCATAAGTCGAGATTGGACAACGAAGGTCTAGCCAGACGCCGGTCTGCTGTCAGCTGTCTTGCTAATGATCTAATTAATGCCAAATACCGTGATTTGAACATAATTGGCGGCCCTCAAAAGTGTATTGCATTTTCAGTTTGGGCTGAGATATATAGGACCCTTGTGGATAGCTTCATCTCCACCAGACTAGGATTAGCGCCACAGAATCGGGTACATTGGCGGACAGCCTATGAGTGCATGGCTTTTCTCATTGCTCTAATTTGCTTTCTTGCTGCAAACCTACAGGGCTCTACCTTCGAAATTGTCTCCTCAATTGCGAGCAGAGTACCGTTTTCTAATCACCTTTGGATATTGTCAAATCTCAAGACTGCGAAGAAGGAACTGACAGCAGCCAGTCGCGAGGAAATCGGTCTCTCGCAAGAAGAATGGGAGAACTTGGGCCGTCCTGCGCTGCAGGATATGAGGACGTACAGGACCGCGATGCGGTATCGTATTGTCTGGGCGCAGAAGCCTGTAGATGATCTTTAGTAGTGTTAGCAATTCACTTTTATCCAGGTTCCATATCTACAACTTGAGCCAGAAATCAACGAAACCGCCCATCCACCGCGCGTAGCAAACACGTCAACGTCTCCAAAACCGGGGTATCAATCCCCAACTCCTTCGCCCTGCGCAACGGAACCCCCAGTATCACCTCAATCTCCATCGGCCTCCCATTCCGACAGTCAACCTGCATACTACTCCCGATCCCCGGCAACGCATTGATCTTGTCCATCAACCGGTCCACCAACCCCTCATCAAGATCTACCCCACACCCCCTCCCAACAGCAATCACTTCCCGCATCAGGCGTCTGGTCAACGGCGTCGCCTCCACAGACGAAGTCAACCACGTCTGCGTATCAACCATCGTCAGCGCAGTGATGGAGTTCCACGCGGCATTCCACACGACCTTCTCCCACCGGGGAAGCTGCATATTCTCCACAACCTGGAACTTCGTTCCCCCGGCCGTCAGGAAGGACGTGAACTCGTCCAGACGGGCCTTCTCAACCGAGCCATCCAGAGACGCATTCGGGAAGAGCCCAATCTGCAGATCCTCGGATTTGATGTGCGTGATGACACCCGGTGAGGTCTGCGTTGCGCCTACCCATGTCTAGACCACGTCAGCAACAGCAACTACGAAGTAAAGATGGTAGCTGCGCACCACACAAGTAAGTATTGAGCAAGCGGGAAACGCCCGTCGGAAGGGCTCCTCATTGCCCACTCCGTTCTGGATGATCACGAACGTGGTGTTCTCGTCCACGGCTGGGGCCAATTGCGCCGCAACGGCGTCCTGGTCAATGGCCTTGTTCGCGCAGACGATGTAGTGATATGGATGCGTTATTTCAGCAGGTGATTTGACCACTACAGTGTTGAGGTTAGACCACATCCTGTGACGAGGATGCAGGCAGCCTACCTAGATCAGGATGGAAGCGGTGCTGGCCGTGGTTGGCGCTGTCGATGTAGATGCCCTACTATCATTAGTAGGTAACTTTCAGAGGTGCTTGATGCTTACATTTTTGACGACAGCTTCGTAGTTTGATCGAGCGACGACTGTTAGGCGGACGCGGTTGGTGCGGTGCAGGATGAAGGCGTAGAAGGAGCCGATGCTGGGGTCGTTAATATCTACAGAGAAGAATGTTCGGATAGACTTACGCTCCTAGGCCGTAGACAAGGACGTTAATCTTTCCTGTCTCTGTCTCCATGTTGAGCACGATTTGTGCGGGTGTATTGGTGGTATTCAATCAATGAATTGATGCCGATTGCGGGGTGGGCATAGGCCGATCTCGCTTCCATGTTTCCGTTGATCCAGTTAAACTTTGTATTAGCTGCTCTACAATAAAGCCCCCTCTACACGTTGATGGCTATTGACAATGCAGATGATTTTGAAATTGGTATTGTAGTATATACATATTCCGCCCGTTTAATATCCCGGACTCCATAGAACACCTGGATATATACTTCCTAATCTATGATACATGAACAGATCGTGTGATAATCATTATACCTGCCGACCGACCTCCAGGGTCGTCGGATTTGTTGTCTCAGGGCTTGTTGCCACAGGACTTACTTCAGAGCTCGAGCCAGTAGTGTACGTACCTAGATCACGCAGCTGGATAGCCCCGGACATCTTGAACCCATTCTCGAATTCACCTGCCGCTTTGTCCTCTGGCGGTTCCTCGTCAACCGCATAACGCCAGTGACCATCCGCATTGAGGAACATCCGGAACCCATACCGCTTGTTCAGTCGGTCGAGGTGGAGCCGTCTCTGCACGCTGGTCCAAAAGTAAGTGCCGCGGAAATCGTCGAGCATGCGACTGTGCGCAATCCAGGGCATCACTGAGCCAATGGACCGTGGTACGCGCGGTCCCTTGAAGCGGCCTCGACGTGCGCCAAAGACAATGAGAACGATCAAGGTATCGAGGGCGATGATCATCAATGCTATAGCTAGAGAGGGAATGGATGGTACCATGGTCCATGTATTGTAGACCACCGTCGAGTTCGGAGCGGCATGCGGTTTGTCCAGTGGCTGCAGGTAAATCCCCTTCCAAATAGTAAAGTAAGTGCTATAAACCCACTGGTAGACGATTTTGGAAATGTCCATCAGGTCATCAGGGTTAAGAGACGTAAACCCCGGATTTCGACGCCTGTACAAACGTGCAACTAGGAAACCAGCCCAGTCGTACGACGTGATGTATGACTTACGATCGTAAGTCGAATTGCTGATGTAGCTCTGCGGGATGGCGGCAAAGACTTTGTTGAATTGTCCCAAGCTGATGGTGGCATTGTCGTACATGGGGCCAGATGTGACGGCTGTACCGGCAATGGGGCTCAAATCTTGGATCTGGCCTTTCCTATCGAAGGTGATCGAGTAGTTTTCCAAATGGATTCTAGGTTCGCAGTGCAGAGCAATAGTGTTTTGGTCGGTTACGGGCGACCCAGCTGTGTAATTCCACCGGCCCAGCACCACCACAGTGGATGTCTGGCAATCATACGTCTCATCTTCGGGAACCACAGGAGACAGAAAGTGAATGGAAAGTGTGACGTCCTCCTGCGGGTGCTGCAACAGGGTCATGTCGACTTTACAGTGTCTATCGGGATCATCAAACGTCTGATATTCCCAATAAGCAGACCCATTCTGGGGATTCACAACCAGATTATCGGCGATCGACAACTCTTGACATGCCAGGTCCGCTCCGATGGCCAGCGTGTTTGCCCCGTATAGTGCATCAGAATCCGGATTCTTGATCATGATGGGAACAAAGGAGTGGTTGGCACTCGTCCAGGGGAGTATCGAGACCCCTGTGGTGATACTTGTCTGAATGATGTCGTATTCAGTAAAGTCTGCCGCAAAATCGCTTTGCTTAAAAACGGCATTGCTGTAGTTGGTGAAAAGTGACGAGGTAGGAAGAGAGGAGCTAGTCAAGTCTTGTGTGAATAAGCCGCCAGCAACCACGGTCAGAGCCGTGTTGGCAACACATGCCACAGATATCAAGAACAACAAAATGTGACGGTCTCGCATGGCTTTCGCCAACACTGCCAACGGTGTCTGCGACGAGTAGTTCATTGACAATGAGGCCTTCGCCGTAGCCCTGCCACGCTGAAGGTGTACCCAAGGTTCAAGGATACTGACATTGCGGTGGATGGATGTGCAGAGAGAACCAACGGCCGAAGCAACTATGGATGGCAAAATTGACAGAACCACTTGAAAGAAGCTCGAATCGGACTGTGTAAGATGTCGGAACTTGCCATCCCGGGTCAGTGAAGCAACGACCAAGCTCATGCCTGTGATCACCGCGGCGAGCAAGAGGAATTCAATAATAAAAAAGGGAATCACGAGAAAGTGTGGCATAGGATCAGAGCGCTTGCGCATCTGCTCGTCCAACTGGATCGGAGAGCCGTCCGAGGTGACGATCGCGAGGCGTCTCCCATTCGGGCCCGGGCCAGGTTCCCAGCGCAGCCAACAATCCCGAAGAAGTCGCCGGAGTTGTCGCGTGGAATACTGATGAAACTCAAACCGAGGATCGGCCAGGATGTTGGACGGTCCGAACAGGTCGGCAACGATGCTACACATGGCCGCAACGGAGCACGGGTCACTTTGAAGTACGTTTTCCCGGTTTTTGTACACGTGTAACAGCCCTACAGTGATGACGACACCTAGCCCAAGAATGACCTCGGACCATAATGCTGCGAAATCGACCACCGCAAGTGCGACTTGCCGCGTGAGTCGCGTCGCCGGTACAACGGCCGGGGCTTCGTCAAGATTGAAGAGTCGGCCCATGGTAAGCAAAAATGTCTGTTTAACGCCTCGCGTAACCTTAGATTCGAACTCCTCTTTCGTCATGACGTCTGATGATTCCAAGACTATGACGGGCACCAAATCACCTATTTCTTGACTAATAACGGGCAACTCCGTCACTTCGCGTTGGCCGCTGGTTTCGTTGATCCGAAAGAAGAGCATGTCGCTGGTATAAGGGGCTCTATGGGACAAGAAGCCCTGAAACTCGTCAATGTTGAACTGATCGTCGGTTAAATTGGTGGTAGTGCCGGGGTATATGTCCACCGAGGTGATGGAACTGTTAGCATGAAGCCTGAGCTTTGCGTCGGCCTTGCGATAGTTGATACTGCAGGCAAAAAGCGTTGCCGAAGATGCAAATGTGACTCCAGATAGTGACATGTCATCCGCGTCGTGGTCCGCGGCGCGCGTAGCGTTGACGGCAATGAGTACGCCGTAGAGATCAAACGGTTTGCAACCGTTGGTGGTGAATGACTGGAAGGCGCTGTCCGTCCAGACTGGCTCCCAGTAGCGAATCTGGACATAATTACTCGAAGGGAAGAATACGTTGCTATATTGAAAATCCAGGGTACACTGTTGATGATCCGGGCCGGGTTGCTGAAGCTGGACCCCCGTGACGTTCCATGAGATGGTTGGCAGCCCGTCCGTCGTCCCGTTAGCGGTAAGAGCGGTAACTTCCAGGTTGTTATTCACCATGACATCCTGGCAAGAAATTTCCGACCAGTATATCGTTTGGTTCAACGTCCACACCGTGCTTTCTCGGAAGTCATCCGTGGGAATCTCGACGGGAGGCACGGCATACTTGGCAGAGCGAGTCTTTTGAAGGGCACTGCCACCCGACGCCAGAGCCGAAAAATCCCAGTTGTTCTTTTCCTGTGCAGCCATCCACTGAGCCTGGCTGGGGAGATCCACAAGATTCGGCCAGGTTCGCATGGTTTCATCGCTCAAAACGCTTATTTCTCTCAACTCAAACACCGCACTTTGCAAAGCGGGTAGGAAGATCCGCATCAACACTGTGAGAACTGAGACGAGCAACACAACCCAATGACCCCTCTTGGCCGAAGTTAGAGGGGTCAGAAATGATTGACCGAAGTTGTAATTGATGAATAATGTTGTGGCTGGAGTACCCTCCGGGCGAGAAAGTTGGAAATACGGCTCGAGCCGCAGAACGTCAAAGTCGATGAAAGACCAGAGTGTGACGAGTATCAGGGCAGCGATAACGGGCACGTAGTTGTAGGCGAAGTCGGCGGCGCTGGAAAGGTTCGAAGTATCCTGGTAGAAGACGAGGCCACCATAGCGATCGGTATATCGACGTAGTGCCTCAAGTACCACCAACATGGTCAGCATGAGAAGACCGAGTATGGAGAGATAGGTCGGGCGCAAGGCGAGCGGGCGCCACCCGGGAGTCGGACGAGGGGATGCATGACGAGAGCGCGATCGGTCGAAATTTCGGAGACAGCGAGCTGAATGTAGGTAGTGGTCAACAAAGAGTGCTGAACAAACACTGCTTTCATACAAGGATCATTGTCTTACCCGTAAGCTGCAGCCAGACATCGGACAGCTTCTCCTGGCGACCCAAGAACATGCTTGGAGAGCATGCGCTCTGAAATAACGGAGGTGTCGGATKGTAACCAAAATGAGAACATCGCCAGGGCGCTCGGCTAAAGAAGTGATCAGGGCGTAATTAATTGCAGTATCATCTCTGTCGATGATTGCTGAGACGGAGTAAGGACTTCCGCATGATGGATTGCCGATGAAAATTGACAGCAGAGGTGAGAGAAGAGAAGGGCCAGCAACTCTCTGAGGTTGAGGATGACGCCTCAGGCTTGAAGATCGACGTCGAATGTTCTCAGCTGCCAAGTTATCTCCCTTTTGCCAAGATGCTCAACTTTTCCCCAATTGGGAGTCCTATATACGAGGGCCCGGCCATTGGTTGGTCTGTTGGATCGGACCAAGTGGGACTGCGCCACGGACAGCCAATGGACAACCGTGGACACGAGGCGCAATTGGGGTCAGGACATAACCACCTGGCAAATTGGGCTTAGCCCCTGGTCTCCCGCCTCGGCCCAGACTTTCAACCGCCTAACAGATCCTGCTGTGCACACAATTTGTTCGGGCACCTTTTCTGGTCTCAACGCCCTTTATCGGCCCGGCCTACATCCGCCGGTCTCGCCGTCCAGGGCTCTCCCTAGACTGGACATAGGATTGGCATCCTAGTGCGAGAGGAGGAAGCATTATCAGTCAGGGGCATTGGAGTGATTCTCCACGGATCCTCCTCATCTTTGGACTATTACTACAGGACGAACCAACGATGGAATACAGGTTTGAGGCTAACGAGCATGATGAGCATCCCTCTCCGAGCAATGCAGGAAGACTGACAAGCCTGATGGCCAAGTATCGGATATCGCA